GGGTTAGCATCAGGTAGACGTCCAGTCATAAAAGGAACAACTGAAATCTTCAATCCGAGCTTGAGATTTGCGATAACATTACCCCAATTTCCTTACACTATTCATTTTCCTTGGAGCTATCTTCTTCCTTTGTCACGTCTAAAAATGATTACGTACATCCTCAAGGATACTTCCAACTCTGAAGGTTACAACTAAAATCTTTTTCCAATGTGTAACCTCATTTAAAATTGGATTGATAATAATTTAGTGACAAGTCTGCTTATTTGCTCGCAGGTTTACGATATTTCCTTATACACTGTGTTGTTTTAGTCAGTACGAATCCATCATAGCACCTTGCTGTTTGTCTCCGTTGAGGTGACGATCCGTAGGCGTTTCCAGACAAGAAAAAGTCATATCATAGTTCAATGTTATGTCTCTCTCTCTCTATGCGTCAAAAGTTACCTCGTCATCGTTATCAATAGCCGCTATGCTTAATAGTACACTGCTGAACATATGCCTCTCCTTAGAAAGGAGGTTTTGGCCTATTATACCACGCTGGCCAGACGGGTTGGTATAGGGTTTGTGTCAAGTTTTCCTTCTCTCTGCAGCGTGGTATACTAGGTCGAAACCTCCTTTCTAAAGAGAGGCCTATGTCCTGCAGTGTACAAAGGCAAGTGTGCCAAGGCTATTGATGTGATGATGTGATACCACGCTGGCCAAATGGGTTGGTATAGGATTTGTTTCAAGTTTTCCTTCTCTTTCCAGTGCCTACAGAGTTTGCCGAACGTCTCTAGAAAGTATAGTGAGCATTATTTTCAAATTGGCACCAATGTTTTTTATGTATTTTTATTTGTCGAGTATACATTAGTATACGAGTAGTAACAGTAAAAATCATGGCGGCATATTGGGCCTTGTTTATTCAATAAATAATCTCACTTTTACGTCAAGTGTAATACATTCAGTCTGTGTATTTAGGCGGGATCTTATTGACTCTTATTCTTGGCACTTGCCGAACATGTTTTACACATAACTTCAATATTATTCAACACTAGCTGACCCGCGCAACTTCGTCTGCGTCTCTCAATAGTAATAAATTTTCTCCGTTTTTGAAACATTCTTCATTGGTGCTCCGCTCCTATTGGTCTTAGCGTGATGATATATAGCCTATAGCCTGCCTCGATAAATGGGCTATCTAACACTGAAAGAATTTTTCAAATCGGACCAGTAGTTCCTGAGATTAGCGCGTTCAAACAAACAAACAAACAAACAAACAAACAAACTCTTCAGCTTTATAATATTAGTATAGATTAGTTGAATAACGTTAGTTGATAGATAGAACGTAACTTATTTGGCTATTATTAGACAGACTTATTGCGATTTTAGAATGCCTAAACAATTCACATCCCTGCAGGAATAACAATATTTTTGTAGGATTGTAGTTTAGAACAAATTTACCTCTAAAGGAAAAAATATATATTAAAAAATTACTATACACAATTTCTTAATAATTTACACACAGAGATTAAAGTCAGATTCATTTTTTTTAAACATTAAATAAACATAATTTTTTTTAGGTTTTAATATTTCCGTAGAAAAAGTGTAGAGGAACGGGTATTATATTTTTCCAAGACACCAGGGAAGATCCTCCGACTAAGCGAGGTGATCATGGCTGGTCCGCACTCCAAATGTTGATGTTAGGAACTTGTGTTTCGTTATATAAACAATAGGTACTACCGATAATAACAACCCTATACTGCACTCACATAGTTCTGTTTAGCATTGTACACGGCCTTAAAAAAAACACCTCTGTGGTTTTTTCGGCGTGTTTTCCCAGAGTGAATTTTAGGAAATAGTTTTAGGAAATAGAAATAGAAATAGCCTTCTAAAGTCTGACTTGTAAAATTATATGTAAAGATTTACTTACAGAAATAACTAAGCCACAAAATACTTTTGTAGCTTAGTTATTTCGGGCTTAGTTGTTTGTGTCTGTTGCTTATGAATTTTATTTAAGTAAGGTCCATCACCAATTCTTAAAATGTTGTTTCTACAGTAGTAGATGCAAACTATTAGATGTTGACCTAGAAACTCACGCCATAAAAACAAAAGGCAACTTGTTGGTGCTTATCAGACGAACGATCAACAAACCCTTAACCAAGAGTGGCACTACAATAACTTGCTCAAAGAAGATGCAACTTTGCAAAACTATGCCCTGGCTATTTGAAAAAAAAACGAAGTGCTACTTCTTGAATAAATTGACTAATAATTAAATGTGACTTTTTAATTATTATATTACCTAACTTAAGACACCTTACACAAATCTGAATCTGAATAATAAAGATTCGTATATGGGTAACTCTATTGCAGTATGTAGCTCAGGTCTAAGATGTCTCAGGTGCACCGTCTGATCTCAAATTAGGCTATGGTAACCAGACTGGTGATAAATTGATTTCTACTGCGTAAATATCATCTATAATATTTACGCAGTAGAAATGTTATACCCTGTTGTACCCTTTATAGCAGAACTTTTTATGTCATACTATTATTTTGCATAACAACCGATAGCATAAACTTCATTTCGCTGAAAATCGTTTGGCAGACACTCATTTATCATATATGCAAAACTCATAATTTTGTAAGTCATAATCAAACTTGGTGTGAAACTTGGCAAAAATTGGCATAAACTTCATATCCACAATAATTTAAAAGTAGAAATATCGTATCGCCGAAAGTTCATAGTCAGAATCGTCTTTGAACATAAATTTCATATCGATAGTCATTAAAAGGAAGAAATAATTGATAGACTATCTATCCATCATGTTGTATTTTTTACCATAATAATAAAGCCAACAAGCATGCCTGTCACGGCTCCGGTGGTGCAAGGCTTCGACGGCAAGGCGAACGTCGAACCACCTTCTTCTCAGCTGACAAGCCGCCTCACCTCTCCGCGTCTACGCGGGCTTAAATTACAGTCTAGGGGTAGGGCAGACAAGACTACATGGAGTCGGTTTTGCAGTTTTTAAGATAATATTTTAAGTGTAATAATGCTATTTTATGGCAATATGCCTAATAAAATTATTCCAAATGAAATTGTATCAAGTTATCGTTGCTCTAAATAAACGTTTTCCATCGTCGCCATCTTAAACGTATACCATTGTAAATTCGGACATACTCGTTTAAACATTCGGCCAAACAATAAGTATACTAAATAATTTTTATGCCTTGAAATATTCGTTTAAAGAAGATTCTGCCAAGTGTGTTATGCGAAATAAATTTCGAAGCATCAAGATTCTGCCAGATAGAGGCACCCATTATAGACACTGAAGAAATGACCGTGCTAGTCATACAACTACTTGTCTTAGGTGATCCTCTGCCTAAACAGTCAGAATTACAGGACCAACAGACCCATCTGCTGAGTAATAATTTTATCATAAGTCAGAATCACTAATGGCTAGACCAACAAGCCTGTCAAATTACTGAACTAAAATATCTGTCCGTTGTCTTATTGAATATAAAGAGGCTAGTGTGTCTTTTATTTAATTTTCAAATTTTTTATGTATTAATTCACTTTCGTTTTTATTTCATATTTTTTCTATAACTTGTTTTCTCTTCATTGTCTTTTTATGCTGGCACACATCAAAACAATTTTGGGTTTATTTAATGATGCCGATGTTATCTGTTGATTAAAAAAGAGCGGCCGTGACTTTGTTTGCCCTTTATAAATAGCCAAATTTATATACAGTGAAGTAGGTTTAATGAAGGATTAACAAAGTAAAGCTTGGTAGCAGTCAGGGTCCCAACAGGCCCGTCAGGGTCGTCCAGTCAATGGCACTATACGGTGCAACGGTGTGGGCGGAAGCTCTGATCGCCCAGAATAAGGCGCGCCTCTGAAGGTGCTAACCCAGCGCTTTAAAGGCGGGAATGAGTGGTTAAAGGCCGCTTGCCGAGCCACGATGATTCATTGGTCGTCCCGGCTGGAGGCTCCACGTACTGGCTTTGGCGCCGTGGAGACGGTCCAGCCGTTCATCGTCTAGTCGACAGGGTGGCAGCACAGGATCCTTTTCTTCCGACTGATGCAGGTCTTTGTTGAGCTCGTCTGCTTAGCGAGATACCAGCAGTCGATCGCTAGGAGTGTCACCTGTCACCACTGTAGTGCAGTTTGAACTTGGCTTAACACACACTGGTCATCGTAGCGTCGTGCGCTCATTGGAGCCATCGGAGTGAATTTGTTACTACCAGCCGTTACAAGCTCCATGGCTGGTGTGCCTTCCATCGCCTAATGCCGCCCTGAGTGTAGTCTCAGATGGACGGGTTTTCCCCTCCATTCAAGTGAGGACCGTGAGGATCCGGTGGCTGGGACTCGAGGTGTCTCTGCACAAATCTGAGGCCTTGTTCTTTCATGAGCCTCGGAGGAGGGCACCTGAGGGATACAGTCTCATAGTAGGAGGCACTCGCGTGACGCGAGGCCCCCTCGATGAGGTATGGGGCTCGCACTGGGTCGGGATCGTGGAATTCGAGAAATCGAAGACCAGAAATCCTAACCTTACAGGGCCCTCATGGAGGAGTGGAGGGAAAGACTTGGGGAACAAAGCGCCGGGCACGCCAGTGTAGCGGCGGTAGGACCCGTTCCGTGTTTCCTCTCGAGCTAATCCGCAGCTCGAGAGGAAACACGGAACAATATAAGTTTTATTATATTCATAGCTCCATAGCTGAAGCTCCTGGTTCTGCTGATGTATTGTATATGTAGTCGCCACGCTACCAGTAAACTACCTAGTTGATTGTACCGTGGTATTTAAGTTGGTTTAATTCTATTAGGTATCATGTCTTCATGCCTCTAGGCATCTGTATTTATTCTATATTATTATTAAATCACGTGCCAAACATAAACCCATGAAATAATAAAATTGATTGTAAAATATATGCAAATTTTATAGCCTGAATATTTATTACGACATTCTACATTGAAAATTTACTTGCTCGAAATATACCAACAAAAAACATGTAACTCGCCAGGCTTAATTAAAATGGAATTCTTACAAATTGCGTTACTGTTATTATATTTAGGAAGTTCTCAATCATCGGTATACACAAATATAAGAGAAACAGTCCAATCGATTCTAAACTCGGCAAGGGATGCTGATAACTCTCTTGAACGAGAACCTACAGTTCAACAAAATGCTTTAGGATATTTCAGACAACAAAGCAGTGAGGCGGCCGACAACTTACGAGCTCGAGACAAAGCTGATATATTACGAAAAGCAAGGACAATAGAACACCGTTTAAATAATGGTCGTGACATACCACCCAATCGACAATCAGGAGATCCAAAAATTGGTAAAGAATATTATCACATGGATCCGGTATTGAACCATGTAAAAAGACGTAGTCGCAGTTCTAGTGAAAAAACCAGCTCTAGTCTCGAAATGGATGATTGGAAGGAGGAATTTAACAATCTATGGCTAGAGAAAAAGTTTGAGGCGATTAACACCACTCGCCACGAGGGTGATCAGGTTAACATGGTAGCTGCTAGTAAGTAACAATTTAATATTTAAAATATAGTTAAGTTTAAAACAAATATAGCCGGGGTGGTATTATTTTCTTCTCTTCTTATAGGTTTGGATGGGATGGTCTTCTTAATTGGGACTAAAAGGAAAATATTCCCTTTCAGTTAAAAAAAATATCCAAATCAGTACATAAACGAAGTTCTGAGGTAACAAACATAAAAAGTAGGTAAATCCAAAATGATAACCTACTCCTACTAAAAACATAATCAAATGTTTTGTAACCGAATTCTTTACACCTTCAGCAAATATCTTACTTGGTTTGAGTCCGACATAAAACCCTAACGTTTGTTCACACATCCATCCAGTTAGTCACTTATATTGTTTGTTGTTTTCCAATAGGTTCCAAGAATTGGCCCGCAGGTCGTCGTACCTCTGGGGTTGAACTACCTACGCTTCGCTCTTCAGTCATAAAGTTGAATGTATATAAAAATAAAACTATGTTTGCTACAAATTAAACTGATTTGTTTGCAGGACCTTGGGGAGTTCCTTGTGGCGATCCTAATCAGCACGATATGCCTTGGGGCAGCTGCATGATGACTAGTGAATGCGAACCTGAGTACCGCATCTATAGAGGAGATTACTTCTGTGGCAGAACTTTGTATATTTGTTGCGCTCTTCAATATACCAATTACGATTTATATCAAGGCTTCGACGTATCTTTCGCGGAAACAAGTTTCGAGACCGATTCCGAAGAGAAGAAAGCAAGAGAAAAAGATTCCAGAGAGAATAGAAAGAAAAATAAGCATAAACAAAAGAGGAAGCGTGAAAAGGAAAGAAGGAGAAGGAAACGGAAAATCAAGAAGAAAATAAGAAGGATCGTTTACGAGATTAGAAAGATATTGAACAGGTCGTTCAGGAATGCTTCGCATCATCGCAAGAAGAGAACTATTATTTTGAAAAAATACATTAAAATGTTGAAGAGACAATACAAAAAGGACCGCAAATCTGTAAGAGACATCCACATCTATGACATGGAACGAATTGACGAAGCATTACAGAAAAGGTTGGAGCAAATTAGAGAGGTCAATAAAAACTTTATGTTGAATTCAACGTTCCGTGATATTCTTGTCAATGGGACTATCAACAAAGTAGGAGCGAGAATGTTAGCACAAGCATATCCGGATTTAATAGAACTATTACGAGGCAGGCTACGACGTGACGGTGGAGGCAAGGTCGAGGGTCAAGAGTCAGATGGAAAAAACGACGACTATCAAGGATATGACATTGAGTATGGAGCTCTTTATTATTGACCAATAAAAAAAATAATATGACATTGCTTTTATTTTACTTTCTTTAACTTAGATGGTGTGTGGAAATCTCCACCTTCATCGTGACTTTATCTGTAAAATGGTACTGTATGTTACTAGCTGATAATATAGCTCTGCACTGGTGACTTTATTTTCAAAATCGGTTTAGTGGTTTAGGCGTGAAAGCGTAACAAACAAACTCACTTTCACATTTATAATAAAATAATATATAATAATATAATATTCTACCACATTCACACAACGCCATCTAGTCCCAAACTAAGCAGAGCTTGTACTATGGGTACTAGACAACTGATATAAATACATATATACTTTTTTTTTTGTAAATACATATACAAATGGAAGTACGGATTACCCAACGCCATTGGACAACTGTAAATCAAGTCACAAGTGAGTTATGTGTACCTCAGGTATCCATACTTACTCGAAGAAATGGAACGAAAGGGTTCCATGACATCGGTTTCCTGAAATGCTATGGTAATATTCCGATCAAGCTGACCAATATTTGCCAAAATACAGCTCTGCAGTGAGTAAAAAAAATTAACTTAAATTAATTAGATATGTGGAGAGACTTAGGTTTTTCCTTCACGAACACCCAAAGCAAGAAAAACACTATTAAGGGTTTAAAAAATATGTACTAAATTCTAAGCTAAACTAAATCTGAAGATTGCAACCAAGTAGCAGGTTACTGTCTGTGTGGTGACGGATTAAGAATACGGAGTGTCACCACCCCTATTTATCACGTGGGTGTCGTAAGAGCCGACTAAGGAGTAAACTACGTAGGACAACAGCACTGCAAAGAGAAGGAAAACTTGACACAAAAATCCTATACCAACACGTCTGGCCAGCGTGGTATAGTAGGCCAAAACCTAGTTCTAAGGAGAGGCGTATATCGTAGGAAAGCAGGTTACTAAAACATGGCCAGTATTGGATCAGGATCCTTGGCTAATATGTTACACTGAAACTTTTGATTGAGCACTTTAACTTCTACTTCGAGTCAATAGTTCCGCTTATATAACGTAACTAGTTCTGTGTTAACTAAGTTTCAGAGCTCAGTCACATCAAATAGAGAAATACCTTAAGACACAGAGCCAGTATTGACATAGCATCTACATTTTCAAAGTTGAGTAATATACAGCAGTTAAAGTAGATAATTGCTTGCTCGGAAACAATATTTCGTGAGTAAATTTATAATAATATGATTCGTAGCTATTATATATTTGTATAAAAGTGTATATAGCATTTTATTAATAAGTGCTCACTGTCACGCTAACCTATGTGTTAAAAATTACCTTTCTTTAAAGTATCACCGACTCGTATATCGTGATGAATTGTAATTAACTGTATCCTTCATTTCTTAATTTTCACTTCAAATTTAAATGTGACCAAACGGAGGCTATTTTTTCAAATTAAGAAAGATTTTTTATATCGCTTCATAAATTACGGCATTCTGAGGTTATAAACGTAAAAAAAAACAAAGCCAGACCAATTAAGAACCTCCTGCTATTTTTGGATTTTTTATTCTATTGTTTGTATCCTTGTAATGATTTATTCTTTTGCTCGTTATATTTGATTTTTCTGGAATTCTAAATACTTTTATATCTAAATACAAGTATAGATAACAAAGACAGGTTAATTATACTATGTATAAATAACTCAAAAATGTCTAGACCTATTTTCGTTATCTTTTATTATTTCTTGGATTTGTCTTCGACCCAATTAGCGGCATAACTATTAAAACATTTTAAAATTCACGAAGGTAATTTAATATTATGATACATTCTGCCGTTCTATTCTACAATAAGCCGGAGGTCATCGGTTCGATTCCCACCCATGATAAATACTATGTGACGTGCATGACCAATTGTTCGAGATCAGTTTGACGTATTCCTAGAAAACCTGAATAGTGTCCTAATGGATTCAAAATCTTTCAATCCCCAAAATGAAGAAGTTACTAAAGTTACTTACTTACCTTTAGAAGCCAGTCCTGCACTATCACTCACATACATGTTTACCACAAGATTGAAGAAATGCTACGATCACCTCTTACTTAAATTAAAACTTTCATCGACTACACTTGTAATGGAATCGTATATATCTGATCATCTGCAAATAGTACTCTACCTTCAGCTTAAAAATAACATAAAGTCAGGCTCGCCTTAAATTGTAAATCGAGACCAAAGCATTCAGCGCAATATTGCAAATACAGATTTTTGTCACTTTCTCCTCAAAGAAAACCAGAAGCCAGTCACAGATGCACTAGAGTCCAGTGTCTAGAACAAACAACACTCTGAAACCCTGCTATTGCGTTGCATATAAAGTAGAGATAGACTCCACAAAAAATCTACATATTCCTCTAATATGGATATCTATTGGATATTATAAAATTACATATACGCGCAATCGTAATTATTGTCTCTTCTTTTACATAAAATAAAAAGAGCATATGAGAGGGATGAATATAAAAAAAGCCATCTCAAAGGTTCTTGGAAGACAGTTAAAACATTAACTAATACTAATAAAACATACATCCCACCTCTTGAGCTACCGAAGGAATCTGAAGATACGACAACATCTCTAAACACCATAAACAACTACTTTGTTAAAATTGACAAAACTTGATCTACTAAAATAAAATCAAACCTTTGATTCGACGTCACATCACACGTAAAGAGTAAAATAGCAGACTTAGGGAACTCAATGGTGATTCTGGATACAGATGAAGTGGAGGTTGAATCTATTATCATGGGATTGCGATCCGGATCAGCAACTGGATTTGATGGATTTTCATCCACCATACTTAATAAAAACTTGTACCCATAATTGCACACACTTGTAATACCTCTTTCCTCACTGGTATATTTCCAAACGCTTTTAAAGAACACGATGATACACCCCATTTACAAGAGTGGAGATAAGAGGAATTATAGACCTATTTCTGTTCTGATCACCCTGTCCAAGATCCATGAAAAATTATCAATTAGAGACTAAGTGACTTTCTAAACAGATACGAGGTTTTATCTAAAAACCAATATGGCTTTCGTGCCGGTATTTAAGACGAAGATACCGTTGTGGAATTAGTCAAACACATTACTAAGAAGTTAGATCAGGGTCAAAAGTGTTGGGCACGCCGTCATTGCGGCGGTAAGACCCATTATGGAGGATTGGCTCGAGAGGCGTCACGGGACCCTCTCATACCGATTGACGCAGGTGATCACTGGGAAGGGATGTTTCGGAGATCACCTGTGTCTGATCCGCAAGGAGCCAACGCCTGAGTGCCACTACTGCGATGGCCAGACCGTGGACACGGCTCTCCACACGCTGGCAGAGTGCCCGGCGTGGGTTGAGCAGAGGCGAGACCTCGTGGCGGCCATCGGAGTGGGAGTTCTCTCGCTCGATAGCCTGATTGCGGCTATCGTGCGGAGCGAGAGTGCGTGGAACTCTGCCGTCTCCTTCTGCGAGCAAGTTATGCTCGCGAAGGAGACGGCGGAGCGGGACCGGGAGAAGTTTAGAACTCTCCCGGCCCGCCAGGCCCGGGCACGGGCCAGGCAGCGCAGGCGACTCAGGCGCCGGAGGTCGCAGAACGACCTCCGTCCTCCATAAGCGCAGGCCTGGGTGTGACAGGTGAGGCCATCTGTCACCCTAGCAGAAGCAGGCCGGGGTGGCGGCGAGCGCGTTGCGAAGCGCGCTCGCTTCCAGGGAGCACAGGGAACATGGGGTTCCCACACGGGGCGGGGGTCGTCTACTCGTCTGTAGATGACCCGAGGTATGTCGGGGCACCAGGGCCTTCCTTTCTAGGGTATACCTGGTTCCCCGGCTATTAGTACCCGGCGAAGGCGTGCGGTTTTAGTCGGTTCGAGTCCGACATGCCACCGACAGGTGGTATCCGAGGGGATTTCCGCACGGAAAAAAAAAAAAAAAAAAAAAAATATTGTCAAAAGTTCTGCCTCGATTCACAAAAGGCGTTCCACAGAGTACATCTAAAATCTAATATTTTTATGATATTTCTATATATAAAACAAAACACAAACGAAGAGTGGAGTTGTGACTAAAAATGCATAAAAATAAAAAAAACCTATAGGGAACTGCTATTCATAATTAAATAAAATAACACTCAGACACAACATATTATCGTACTTATCGCGCAATCCTTTATCTTGAATAAAATTCATCCACGCGTTATCTAGCTCTGGATTACTTACCCCTACACTAACTGGCTGTAAAAAATATATACTTATCTAGATAGTAATCTAGGTAGGCGGCTAGTAAGCTGTACCCTGCCACGCTTCGCTGTGGCACATCGTGGGTGCATTGAAGAGAAACGAAGAACAATAGTGCCGCGAAAAGGAGTTAAAAAACCATCTTTGAATCACGCTGTATATCGCGTCAAAAAAGCTTGATCTTAAAAGTTCAATTTGCTATACATATGGGGAACTGCTAGTAACGGTCACTCATGAAGCTACCATGGTGTTGCAGTCAACACCATGGTAGCTTCATGAGTGACCGTTTGTGCGTCTGGTATGTTTGCAGACGCTAGGATAGACAGCTTCCATGCTATAATAAGGAAGATAATTTTATCGGTGCAAACAATTCTAAGAATATTGACATAGAAAATGTATCATGAAATTGACAGGATTAAAAAATGATTGATGATTGGATTAAAAAACTGACATGTATATGTTTTATGGAATTTGACATCAATGCAAATTATAATTATTTTTCTTCTAACATAATTATTAGGAATTAATTCTAACAAGACACAGATAACAATGTTAAATAAATGAATATTATTTTATGATATACATATAATTATTTACAAAGAACTGTTTATATTCACATATAAAGTGCTCCATATTCTATGTCATATTCAAGGTAATCTTTTCTTTTCGGTTTCTTTTTACGTTTTTTTCGTTCGAAGATAAAGCTTGTACCAGCACGTCTCGTATCCATAACCGCTTCAGATATATTTTTATCTATTTCTCTGTAACTTTGCACATCTGCAGACATTTCACCTGAGCTTGTTGATGTTTGAATCGGTGATGAGCTTTCGGTAACATCTATCCTCCAAGACGGATTAATCTCATATTTCAAAGATGCTCTTGGTAGGACGTTCAAATTAGGATTCTGCAACAATACATCAGATGCACTATTGGCGTTTACTAAATAATGCAATTCTTTCCGATTGTCATTTAATTTCCTTACGACATTTTGCTGTAGTGGGTATCTTAACGGTTTGGTTTCGTTTTGCAAATCTACTGTTACGTTTCTTCTCGTTGCTGCCAAGAGCCGTAATATGCCATCAGATATCTTTCCTGTCCTAGTTGTAAAGTATTCTAACAACTTCGGATTCACCGAATCTAGTGATCTTAATTCTTTGCTACTGATGTTATATCTTCTAAGAAACTCCCTAAAAGTTTCATTAATCAAAAAATGCGCATTTACAGAGTCAAGTTGGATTAATGTTTTGGTTAGATCCCCATGAACATCTTCTATATCACCATGGACTTTCTTTATGGCTATACGACGTTCGTCATGAAATTTGTTTCTCAAATGTTTTATTAGTTTTATTAGTGCCTCCATTTTTCTCTTACGATCTGAGGTTACATTTCTGAAAGCCCTATTTAAAATTTTTCTGAGATGGTGCACCACTTTCCTTATCTTTTTCTTTATCAGCCATTTAGCCCTTTTCCGTCTCCTCTTACGTCTAATTCTATCATCGTGCTTCTTTTTGCGTTTTAGGCGAACTGAACCGAGGTCAATTTTTCTTTTCTCACCAGATGAATCGGTTTCAGTGTCTGTAAACGAAATATCCAACCCTTGGTACAGGTCATGCGTGGTGTATAGAACGGAGCAGCAAACAAGGGCTGACCTTCCACAGTATAAATCACCCCGATATATGCGGTACTCTCCATCACATTGGGCTGCAAGTGTACAGCTGCCCCACGCCCAATCGTGCTGATGAGGATCACCACAAGGAGCACTCCATGGTCCTAAAATAATTAGAAATATAAAATTGTTTGTTTTATGCAAACCGATTTGTCTATTTGCAAGGAATTTATCTATAAATAAGTAACGAAACATCTCTGGGAAAAAAAGCTGCTGCCGCTTATGGATGGAACCGCAGTATGAAACACCTTACATGTCGCAGATTTTCTAACAGCTTGTTGCTAACTGTGGCCATCGCATGAAATGTACATTGGAATTTAATATGTAGGTTCAGCCTCTTACCCTTAAACCCGGTTCCTATATCTATTGCGTTGGTATTTTCATAATTTATCTTTAATGTTCCATAGTAAATAAAAAATAATATTTCTAGATAGTGGACATATACGGCTGGAGATTTAAAAGATTTAAACGATAGAGGGAATTAAACATAAGAAGAATTTAAGATTTAGGTTAGAAGAAAAAAACTAAACGCTTTTAATTTTAGGAAACATTAATTTTATAAACAAAACAGGTTTTATTGTTGACAATCTTATTTCCAAACTTTTTAAGTAAGTGCAATCATGTTCGTCGACTTCAAGGGTCAATGGCTAGCGGTAATAGAGTCTATCTACTAAAGTAGGCAGGTAAATGGTGGCGGATCAACCATCAGGTAAACTTCAGGCGCGAGGTTAATTTTTTTTTAACAAAGAATTAAACTCACATAAAAGAAATGTGTCGGTATGTATGCACATACTTACACCGATGTTTAAAAAAAAAAATGACATCTAGGGTTTATATTACCTACGTAATTGCCACTACTTCTTTGATTTACTTCGTTGATACCTTCGAACTTTGAGACTAGTGCATGAACACAGAAATGTAGTTGCTAGAACTGGCGCTGTAGTTGATATTACTGTATAAGTCAATTAAGTTGTAGTAATAGACCAGCGTTGTCCATTCAATGGCACTATATGGTACACCGGAGTAGGCGGAGGCTCTGAGCGCCCAGAATAAGGCGCGCCTCTAGATATTCTACCATGGGATTTAGAGACGGGAATGAATAGCGTAAGGCCACGATGACTGGTTGGTCGTCCCGACATGAGGTTTGATTCCGATAGACCGCCCCATCGCAATCTTCGGTAGGATGACTCAAGGAGTTTTCCACGTGCAAACAAATGACATAAAAAAGTTGTAGTAAAGAAATGCCAACTAAAATTTGGAGTTTTTATAATAAAGAATGAGCGCTAGAGAGAGGCAGAAGGCGCCGATGAGATGCTTGCTTAGGGCGCTCTTGATACTTAATCCGCCGCTGCAGGTAGGTAAGCACCATAGCCGCTTATAAACCACCACCATAATATAACAGGAATTCTGAAAAAGATTCCTCAGGAATAGCAGATTACTCATGAAAATTTACTAAGGAAAGTTTTCAAAGTTTCTAAAAGAACTATTTACTATTTTTAAACCCTATTTTTATGTCTGTAAGAGTGCCTCGCTTTTTCCTTAAATTTAATTTGTGTAATCCCTAGTATTAGGGATCAGATTGGTCCAAAAACGTTTAAAAAAAGTACTCACTTGCAGCCATCATATGTACTTTATCGGGATGCGCACCGGTATTTAATTGTTCAATAATCGCGTCTTTTTTTAATTTTAACCGATCAATATCAAACCCCTTTTTCCATTCTGCCAGCTCCGCAGTACTACTCGTATCTCTAATCGATTCTGAAGAAAACTCCCTCCGGTAGTGCTTGAAAGATCTGCGCGCCCATGGGAGATTTTCTTTACTTTCCTTCGCTCGTCTCAAAGTAGACAGTATTCCCCAATTTTTATTATACGGATTCTTAAAAGGTGCTGATTTTCTGCCTTTATTCTGTATTGCTTGATGACCTGGCAACATTCTTCGGTCTTGTAAGAACGCTGTCGGATGTCTCGTAAACTTCACATTAAAGTCCCTTCTTTTTTTTTGACGAGAAGTAAAATTGCCTTTTCTATTTTCGGGCATTAACGGCATTGTTGCCTGGATGAAAAATAACAAAAAGACTATATTTAGTAATCTCATTTTATGGTCACATTTTAGTAACGGCTCTTTTCTCTTAACTCTTTAAATCCAATCTTCGAATAAATTAAAATAAAATTAAAATCATAAAATATTTACGAGCTGCAGTGCAATAAATAAAAATGTTTTTAGAAAGTTGAAAACTTTGATGGGGTTACATTAAATGTTTGGAAAAACAGTAAAGTAATTGTTTAAGGATCGGATCTATGATAGAAAATGGGTCCTTATAACAATAGATGTGATCCCTATATGATACTGCATTGTACGATTCTTGTTTGTTTTTAAAATGAGTCAATTTTCTATTGACTACTCTCTTGTCTAATTCCTATACTTCATCTTAATGGTCGCTATGTAGGCATGAGACACGATAAGTCGTCAAATATAATGGTAATAATTATTACTTAGGAGAATAAGCCGGCCCATATGCGCCGAAGGATGGCTATTCCAAGATATTAAATAGGTTTTTTTTATGGAATAGGGGGCAAACGAGCAGACAGGTTACCTGATGGAAAGCGACTACCGCCGCCCATAAACACCTGCAAATCAGGACTTACAAGCGCGTTGCCGGCCTTGAGGAAGGAGTACGCTCTTTTCTTGAAGGTTTGAAGGTCGTATCGATCCGGAAATACCGTAGACGATAACTAGTTCGACAGGTTGGTTGTGCAAGGCAAAAAGTGTCTTGACAAGCGCACAGTGGTGGAGTGCTAATTATCCAAGTGGTGGAGATGAAAATTTTGCCGTGTGGAACGATAGCGTAAAGTTGCGCCCGGTATTATAATTGCTTGGAGCACTCTCCAAAACATAGAATGCGATGAATGCGGTGAACTCGCAAACCTGTGTCTTTTTTGGGTTAAAATGGACTAGATTCAGTTGACCTAATCTGAAATCTCTGTTAAACAAGTTTCAATTTCAGACACAGATTTGTTTCGACTCTCGATGACGTTTTCCCGAGAAATATTGGGGCAGTCGGTATAAAAGGCATTTCCCGTGCTATCATCTGCATAGCAATAGATGCTACTAGTTCGCAACATATCATTGACATGCAGAAGAAACCGTGTGGGTAATAGGACACAGCCTTGCGGGACAGCAGCATTTACAGACTTCAAGTCGGAGGATGCACCGTCGATAACGACCTTAATGCTTCTGCCTGCAAGTAAACTGGTGACCCAGTTACATAATGTCTCGAGAAGCCCATACTAAGGGAGCTTTGAGAGAAGCGTCTTTTACCACACCCGGTCGAAGGTCTTCGCTATATCCAAGCTTACCGTACAAGCGTCGACCTGTCTCTCGTTCGCTTGTGTCCGGTGTTTAGATAAACGAAAAGATCACCAGTTGAGCGATCCCAGCGAAAACCATATTGTCGGTAATGACCGACCGTACTTAGAAAATCTCAATTAGCTTTTTTTTTTAAGTACCTTTCCTTGAGGATGTACTCTTTCCTTGAATATGAAACTTTGCTGATACGTAGTCAGAGGTACAAAAAAGGACATAGGATTGGGTTAGACAAATTATGACTTTAATAGGTACTAGAGACGCTTATTTAAAACATTTTATATATTTCACATATAACTAACTCATCGACAAACTAACAGAATCTTCTACTAACAGAACTTCTACTAACAGAACTTGAGACAGACTTAGTATTTACGTATTTTCCTTCGACTTGCCGCACGTCTCGTCTTATTTGGTCGAGCTTCAAGAAAATCTTGGACCGCCGTCATCTCTGGAAATTCAACCAGTTCTGGATACATAGCTAATAATTGCCTAGCTATTGTCTTTTTCATAGTTCCGTTCACAATAATTTCTCTAAATGTATCATTGGTTAAGAAGTGCTGATTGATAATTTTGAATTGACTCAATTTATTACTTAGCTCCGTGGTGATCCGAATCCTGTCTGTTTCGTAAAGTTGCAGAGCAGTGTGACGATTTTCCCTGTATTTCTTTTTCATAGCATTTACCAACGTCTTCAGGTTTTCTGTGGCAAAGAAGCGTTTATGGGTATTGTTTCTAAAAGCTCTGTTTAACTCCTTGCGTATTAGTTTTACCATTTTCCTGATCATTGCCTTGATTTTTCGTATTCTCCTATGCCTCTCTCCTACTAATTGTTTCCTTTTACGTGCTCTCTTTCGTCGTCTCATTTCCTTAGAGCCTCGAGCTTCTTTGACCTTTTCCTCGGAGCTAGTCGAGAAAACGCTGGAATCAGCAAAAGAAACATCGAAAGCTTGGTTCAGATCATGCCGGTAGCCTTGGACAGCGCAGCAAACTAATCCAGTTCGACCACATGAAAAATCACCTCGATAGATGCGATATTCGCCATCACATTGGAATCTAAGCGTGCAGGTGCCCCAAGGTAGATCATGCTGGGAAGGATCGCCGCAAGGTGTGTGCCACGGTCCTATAAATTGAATAACTATTTAACATTTATTGCATTTACTTTTAGTTTTTATTTAGTTTTGTTTTAGTTGCCATATATTGGCCAGAGGCTAAAATTGGAAATTTGTCTAACTGTCTAACTTCTGTGCTGGTGATACTTATACAAATCACAAGTACCTACCGTCTAGTGTAGAAATGAAACCATTCGTTTTGATTGCTCTAACAGTGAACCTTCAGCCTTCAAGAAAGTAATTTAAAAATACATGCATCGTTTCCTTAGGCATTCGAATAAAAAATGAAGAAATAGAATACAGCTTAATATTAGTTTAATAAGTAGATTTCTACAGATCTTGCGGATCAAATGCTTTAAATTTCCCTTTTTTATTTTTGTGCCAAGTATAACTTGAACTGTCATTGTATAGACTTTTATACCGCGACGCTAAATATATGTATACTGGACCTCTAGAGTCAAACGTGTCTAAATCGAATGGCTCTTTTTTTGTTACTCCTTTCACATCATTCACACATATACAAATAGGCATATATATGTATATAGAAATACCCAGACTGCCCACAACGCGTAGTTACGCGGTAATCATTTGTGCTGGGAGGAACCAACGAACTCCGGCTTATCAGTCCAGGTCACTAACCTCTAGACCAAAAGGTCAGTCAACATGACAGCATAAATCATAAAACTTGCTTACTGGCAGCCACCATATTCACTACTTTCCCACCAGGGCTTAGATGAGCATTCTTGGGATGGAGAGCATCTGCTTTCAATTCGTCCCAACGTTTTAACCATTCTTTTTTGAATTCGTGTGTGTCAATACTCGTGCTGCTGATGCCAGTGACGGAACTGTGGAACATTCTTTTCTGTTGTTTTCTTCCTCCAGTTCTCCTATACCCGAAATCCTCACTGTTAGAGTCAACTTCAGAGGTAAACACTTCACCGCTGTTATTCTCAAGATCGTCAAAATTTAGTGCTCTTTGCGATTTTACTGTTTTTGCACCATTATTTGGCCAAAAATATCTCATAGGAGCATTTGTCATTATTTGGATATTTTTGTTATGTTCCCCATGCTTGAGTAGATTCGTATTGCCAATGTAAAAAACTAATAATAATAAACGAACGAAAAACATTTTAATTTTTTATGTCTAAAACTGTGCTTCATTCTACAATACAATGAAGAAAATACATATGAAAAGATATAGAAATAAAATTCATTGTGAAATGGCACGACCGATATCGATACGAAGCAATATTGTAATATTTACGAGCTGAGGAAAAATATTACATAACCATACCATCCTAGTTTTATTATTAACTAGCTGACCCAGCGAACCCCGAACCGCCTCAGAATTAATAAGTTTGATGACATACTGACAGCAGTGCCACCTACCGGCTCCAATTGTGTTTTGAAACCATCCAGGAACCCTTTGGAATATACACCCAAATCAGTAAGGCAGTTAAGCAGCACCGAATTATATTTTTTTTACTAATGAATATCATATTTTAATATATATAATCCTATTCCGGACGAAGAGAAATCCAACAACACAAAATTAATAAAAATCGGTCCAGTCGTTCTTGAGTTATAAATGGTGTAACTAACACGACTATGTTTTACATACATATATTATTTTTTTTATTCTCAAAAGGACTACTCCCGCTCCAGGAATATATATTGCGTCAAAGAACACCCAAACTCAGAACAACAATTTGTGGATCACACAGAGTTGTCCCATGTGGTAATCGAACCCACAACACTGAACACAATAGGAAGTGGTGTGGCCGCTGAATCCACTACGCCTACGCATGAACAGTCCACGGTCCATACATACATACATACTTAATTATATTATCACAGGATTTAAAACTTGAAACATCTATTTCTGGAAACAATTCACAATGGTCCTACTGCCTTCACAGAATTACCCACCCCCCCCCCCCCTTCCCGTACAAAAACTGGCTCAGCACAAGGGTCCCAGCTTCCGTTAGAAGGTAATGTGAAATGAAACAACTTATTAAAAAAGTTTAAAATTCTACATTTTTGGTATTTCATTATACTAGCAGTGATCAGTATGTTATATCATAGTTAGTTGCTATTAAAATCACAATTTTCAGCTTAGTTACTTTTATTTACAACTGCTGCAACAACTGAATACACAAATGTGTGCCCATATCATCAGCAAACCTCATAATATATTATGTTCCAGTCATGTTAAACCTGCTTGGTTTACCATAATCAAAGTATATAACAATTAATTGATAACTTCAACAACTGCTTCTGGTTTTTCCACCCATACTCTATGGTCCTTATTATTGTTGGCGGGAAACGTTCTTTTAGTACCACAGGTATTGCAAGTCCATTCTATAATCTTTGATTTCTTTTTTTGTTTTAATTTCATTTTGCCTGAAACATTGTGGATAAGTATGCATCTGCATTTCTTGCATATTTGTCGTTTGATATCTGGATGTCTGTAATAACACGAAAAAAAAACAAAATATTAACAAACAAATCATCACTCATATCTCTGTCTCTTTCATATATTATTGATTGACCTGTTGATCTATCTAGTGGTTAGTGACCCAAACTGCTAAGCCAAAGGTTGGGCGTTAATTGTTGGAAGAATTTATCTATACTATATATTATATGTACTAGCTGACCCACGCAACTTTATCTGCGTTCTTGTTTTCGCAACTAAATGTTAACTAAAAAACATTTTGTAGTGGACCGAATTGTAAATCTAAAATATTCTGTTCTTTTTTTTTTTGAAAAGACAACTCCCACATTAGGAATATATACTGTTTCGCGGGGGACTTTACAAACATACATGAGACGGACACAAGGAATACCCAGACTCGGATCGGACTCACAACACACAGCGTAGTAGTGAGCGGCGAGGCGACCGCTTTAAGCAGCCCTAACGCCATTTGAAACCACACAAAAAAAACCATCAAAATCGGTCCAGGGGTTCAATCACATACACATGCACAGAAGAAATGATATATTGGTTTGTGTACGCTTAAAAATTTAAAAAAGTTCTGCACCTAATTAGATTAAACTATGACACTATACACAACACACTTCAAAGATGTTTTTCTATGTTTTGTAACCACAATGTGGTACAGGGAAGAGTGGTAGGGTACAGCTAGTGTATTAATCAATATAAACATTTGTTTATCAGCAGTCTGGTTACCATACCCAGACTATTTAATCTTTCTTTGTGCCAAATTTCATTGCTATTCATTTAGCCATTCTGGTTTAATTGAATAACAAACACATTTTCATCTATTGTTTGCATTTCTATTATCAATGGAATTTAGAACTCATTAATTGTATGCAAGTTTATGATACTAATAACTTGACACATCTTGCCACAGCCTGTACTACGGTAACCACACTGCTGATGCATAAACATTTAGATTTTTAATTGATATCATAAATATCATGTATAATCTGTAGCGACCGTTATTGGTAGTTGTAGTCCTAAAAATTCTAACAACAGTCTTTCTAAAGAACTTCGATATCGCCTAGTACTTCGGTTGTGGAAGTCTGATGGCAGTTGCTTTGCATCAAAAATCGAAATTCAGCCATATTGTAGTAGACTTAAAACTGACCCCAACCTAGTTACGGAAAAGTCTTGGGGGAAGAATCATGTCATGTATGAATTTAACTTAGACACAAAACAAAATAATAATGCCGTCTCACAAATTTACTTGTCCTGGGTCTGGCAAATCAAAAACATTACTTCTGGCTCCGAATTTACTTCAGCATCTACTTACATTTTTAAGACATTCTTCTTAGCCACATTTATGACCAAATTCCCATAGTAAGATGAAAGAGCAGTATTTTTACTGACTATTAATTTGCTGATCTGTAAATAAAATAATGTTAATTATGAAGATTTCTTTTACACAGTAAACAAATGATGAGATGGTAAGAAAATAAGGAATTCTGTCTCAACATAGGTATGTCACCCAAGGCAAGATGGAATTCCTTATTAAGTTTTTGAAAAAGATTGTTTAAAAATCTGTAAACGAACTCCAAACTAGGCAGTGCCCGTGCCATGGTTACCAGACTGCTGATAGACATACTTAAATATTTCTAAATTGATACATATTATATATAAATTACACCCAGATAGAAAGGAAATGATCGTGCTCATCATACAATTATTTGTGCTGGATGAGCATCGAACCCAAGACCTGCTTATATCGTAATCAATTAATCATAATTTTTCTTACTCTAGTAGATACTTAATATTTTATGGAACTTAACTTTTAACTTAAAATTAGAAAAATAAATTATACTTACTTATGTTTTACACAATTTATAAGATTGAATTAGTATTACAAACAAAACTTACTTGGTAGAGATAATTTATCCGTTGAAAGGAATCATTGAATTGAACTTTCTTCATTTTATTTTTCTTCACTAAATAATAAATAAAACCATATGTCAAATAATCATATATTGAATTGGCGAACTGAATGTTCAGAATTAAAACTTATTAAACATTAACATTCGGCAATCCACTACATTCATAACATTAAATATCGCTAATAGTAATTTTATAACTTGGCCACAGATTAGTATAATGTAACTTGGCCGTGCACTCGTTGTAGGATGACAATCAGCTGGTAAGATGAAAATAAAAATAATGATAATGGCATTAGTGACGGAGGTTCAGGGCTGCCAGTAAGTTTTTTAACGGAAAATCTGCAAAAAATACAACAACAGTATTTTAATTCAAAAATATTATTAATGTAAGAACAAGGCTAACCAAGCTAACCTTTAACGATTCCAATCGTAATAAAACTATGGACCTGGTGCATAGCAAGATTTTAAAGTAGGTGTTGTGTATTCGAAATAAAAGCCGCTGCGAGAAAATTGGAACTGTTCCATACTACCACCATTTCTAATTAACCATCTAATCCCTATCTCTTAGCAGCTTCATATTTTAATTTTTAAACAGTAATTAATCAACCTGTTTTATTTTTTATTTTTGTGTCAAGTTTTATTTGAAACTTGTAAGACAATATTTAAAAATAAAAACAATGGTGTCATAAATAATGGTGCATGGAGCACAAATGAGCACTTAAAATTATTATGTTGCTCATTTTGACTAAAGTATTTCTAAAAGAACATTTGTAATTTTTTTCCTCTGGAAAAAAGTGTATACACCAAGGAAACTGGTGTTTTAAAAGTTTGATGATGATAACAGTTATTCAAAAAAATACTCACAATTCATATTTAAGTTTATTAGAAAATAATGCAAATTAAAAATTACATCAGCTTTTAACTCAAATTAAAATAATTAACATGAATTCAAGAACGCGTTTGCGTCTCCTGAGTTGCAGAGGTTTATGGGCAGCGATGGTCACTTTCCATCAGGTGACCCGTCTGCTCGTCTGCCGCTTCTAACATAAAAAAAGAAAAAAAACATTATTACAGGAGTCCATTATTAAAAAGGTAATAATTGCGCACAGTTACGCCATCAAATCCCATGACTGCGCTTTTTTAAAGGCTGTCTACAACTATATAGTTAACACAAGATTATTAACTAATTTTAACTGACGTGTTTGGCAACACTTATAGCCAACTGGCAAACTGTCAATTATTGGCAAATGATTTCAAGATTGTCAAAGTTCAAACACTTCATTCAAGTTCATTCTACCTCAATAAGATTGAGACACATAGTTGGAGCCGAAAATTATTTAAGTTTTACTTTTCTCTGTAAAATTGAATTGGTAATTTCTTCTAGCCCTAATAAACTTTTACATTCTTATGGTACATCAGATGCATATCTTATATATTCACTATATTTTAGGTGCCCTTCGGTGACCCTTAGTAAAGGTCTAAGAGCTGTAATGTTATCAAAAAAACGGTTAATTTTATCAAGAATAAAACTCAATAGAATATATTGGCGATGGTTTTCATTAAAATCCAGCGCCGGAGAAATCGAGATTCCATTTTCAAACGGGTATGTCACATATTTTTATAACCTAAAACCCTCTTCAAGTTAAAGCGGCAATAAGTTAGGTTAGAGATAAACAAAATTCACAAAGATTGAAAAGAATGTAACTCCTGAGTATTGCACTATTTTTTTTATTTACCTTTGCTTGTAATAAGTAAGGTGTATTCAGAAGAAATATAAAAGGGATTTACACACAATAATAAAACAAACAACTGACAAATTACAGCACTACAAAGGGTCTTCTCTTTTGAAGTTATCCTAAACCTTCAAGTATTAGTCTTGGGTAGTACACGTACGATGTACTGATAGGTACTAGTACCGGGTATTGTACTAAAAGTGATGTTTCCGAAAGGCAGCTGTTAATCGGACATTTTGCACTATTAGTACAGTGTCAACTTCAAGCCAATACTAAAACTACCTATTATTTACTCGTGTCTACGTTCGTTCGCCGTGCGACGTACTATTAATGCTCCGCTTTATTGTTCCGTATTGGTAAACAGTGTGAGAGTAAAAGGGACAGCGATACAGGATGTACTACAATACGTTGGGTTGTAAAGTATGAAGGAAAATTAAAAAGTATGCTTTAAAATTTAAGTATGCTTAAAGTAATCTAAAAAAACGTATTTAAAAGTCAAACTGTTAGGGTTTATGGGATTCAGAAAGGGATAACACATTAAAAATAATCAAGAACTGTGTAATTATTTCTATACTGAAGAAAAGTAACTGCCTAATACAAAGCTGTACTAATAGTACTATTACGGTGCGCTAGTACGTTGTACGAATTGTACTAGTACGGTGCGAACCTGCAGATGTCCGATTAAGCACAAGACTATCAAGTATCACTTGAATAAACCCTAATCAAAGTCGGCTGGTTTGCTAAGTAAGTTGTCAAAGTTGATATTATTGTAATAAAGTTTTTTTTTAGCACTGTTCTCAAATTGTCAACGGGCCGCTATGCCAGGTTTGCGGATGGAGCCTGTGTGGCGAGACTAGGGGATACAAGTATATTATCCACAGTAGTATCTAAAGCTAAGCAAAGCACAGCGTCATTTCTACCTTTAGTTGTGGATTATAGACAGAAGGCAGCTGCAGCGGGCCGGATACCAACTAACTTTCTCAGAAGAGAATTAGGTAATTAATACTACCACTACTTTTACAACTTGGAAACAAATAGAATAAATGAATTAAGTGTGTTGATTAAATCCACATAAATTAGTCTATCAAAGTTACTCTTGATCACAGTTTTGACAGCACACATCTTTTTCAGCTGATATTTTTTTATATTTTTACTGTCCCCAAATACACACCTGCCACACACAGCTTTGCCACACCCAATGGTTTGACTGGAAGAAAACTGGCATCAAGTCCGCCTTATGCAATATGTTTGCAGGAAGGCTCAAATAAAATAAAAATACTGAGTTGAAGAAATATTTTTTTTTTCTTCATCCATTTTTTTCATTCTTGAACTTGGCCATTGACTAGAATGGTTATCAAGCAATTTTGACATCAAGTAGACATGACACAATGACAATAAATATAAAAAAAAAGTGTGTGTACTCCTTAAGTATGATACACACAAGTATACAACTTATACACACACATAGGTACTCACAAAAAATGTAATGAGGTCATAAAATCATTAAATTTTACTCTTCATATTTTTTTTATACCAGCACCTTATGTGAAAATCTATTCTGAAGGAGTAAACTCCAAAAACATTAGGTTTTCAGCACCAAAATTGTAAACTTGCGGTAACTTTTTATGGAATTTATAATAATTTCAAAATACATCGGTGCAAAACTGCAAAACACTGCTGTAGCCATAATTTCTAACTTTGTCCCTTTGTACGTAGGGACCATCGGTTTTATGACTAAATAATTAATGTATTATCTTTCATCTAAAGTATATGTATGCAGAACAACACGAATAGGTATTATATTAATGCTAGAGTTTCATCTTAAATGGTTACATGCACAAACTCTCGATAGACCAAACAACAATTATGACAGTACTAATGTACCTTCATTTTTTTTTCAGGGCCAACGGAACGTGAGATCCTCACATCACGTTTGATTGACCGTTCCCTGAGGCCATTATTTCCACATAACTACAACTATGACACCCAGATAGCATGTAACATGATGGCAGTAGATGCTACAAATCCTCCTGAGGCTATAGCTATTAATGCTGCCAGTGCTGCTTTAGCACTATCTGATGTACCCTGGAATGGTCCAGTAGGAGCAGTCAGGTATAAACACTTATACAATTTAAGGATTTTTCGTTAAAACACAAAACAACTTTTTGGTCCGTTAAAAATTATTATCTTTGCAAAATTCATACTTAATATTACAAATGCAAAAGTGTGTCTGTCTATTACCGCCGCTGAACTAATTTAGATTAAAGGACACCGACAGCTTTGTATGGGACTTGGGCCATGGGGTGGACATTTTTATATTGAAATAAAAACGTTACTAGGTAGTAGCTGAAGCTATGTAGAAACCAATAATATAATTAATTTAGTATCCAGGTCTATAAAAAAAAGCTTTGATTTTTGTAAACATTTAATTTCAATTGTCGTCACCATCACTTTCATACACAATCAAAATATTATCCAGAAAATGAGCTGGAGTAGTAACATTATCATACCTTGCCCAACTTAGATACCAGATTACGGACATAATGTGAGAGCAACGTGGGTTGTTGCTCTCACATTATGTCCGTAATCTGGTAGTTAGTTCTTCGACCAACAATGCAGTTACAGTAATACTCTTTAATTACATTTAAATTCTCTATATTACTGTCAAATAATATATAAATAAAATATGTTTTCCTACTTATGTGTCTGCTTTGTATTTTGGCCCTTAATAATGTGCAATTGTTGGCTGAAGGAAGACTTGGCAAAAGGTTGCTGGCTCTCTCTATACAAACTTCGACTGTATTTGAACCATCACTTCTTATGTGTTCTCCAAAATATGATCTAGCCTGTTTTATTTGATATGTTCCACATGCTAACATACATATGTTGTCGTGTACATATAATAGAATATCCAAAAATAAACAAATAACAAATAGTAACACCGTGCGCGCCTAAGCCAATGCCAGACATGACATTAGTCAAATGTTGTTAGAGTAAGAAAAAAATATACCCATGTGCTGTTTAATATTCTTCATCACAATTTATTTTTAGACATATATTTTGTCTTAAAAGGAGATATATATAAAAAATAGAAATAATTATATCTTGTAGGTATTACAGTTTTCAAAGTACTTTGTAAGTGAGACTATTATTTATTAGTGTGTTTTTTTTAATCCCTTTTTCCACTACTTATTTTTTGTATGCAACACTTACGACACGTTTCGCTCACAAAATGATTGGATGTACGTCATAAATAATGATAAATATTTTGAAATACTTTTTTTTAAATATGTTCACTTGATACTACCAAGTTGTACTCATAATTATTTTATAATAAAAGAAAATTGACGTTTTTCATTTATTTATAAAACTGCTGTCCGCACCTTGGCCCAAATCGGTCAGCCTCCTTTGGTAGGTTAATTTGGAAATAATATTTTTATATGTGTAGGTTAGGTCAAATAGATAACGAAGTGATAATTAACCCTACCCGCAAAGACCTGGAGAATTCAACTCTGAATCTGGTCGTAGCTGCTGCTAGCGGGAAACTTGTTGTCATGCTGGAAGGTCATGCACAGGATATACTACAACAGGATCTTCTAAAAGCCATCAAATTAGGTATGAATGTAAGTTTTCTCTTGGATTAGTTATGTCTGGAGAGGTTTTATATTCTATTGCTTTGGATTGATGGAAACTATTTATTTCAGGTGCAAAAGAGGCTCAGCTCATAGTCCGTGGTATAGAGAAACTGGCGAAAGACCATGGCAAGAAGAAACGCGAGTATTTAATACCACAGCCACCTCCGCAAACTGTTATTGATTCCATCCACACACTCTCTAGCATGAAAATCAGGGAAATACTTAGGTATCTATATAATCCTAACGTTATAAATGGGATTTTGTGTGTTGTTCTGTTATAAATACCTCACGCCCTTCTTGGACAGGGTAAACAGAGGTAATAGGGCACTATTTACAACGGTCCTGATACATAATAGTCCATCAGTATTCTGAAATGAAATGAAATGACTTACCTAGAAACATTCCAGTATGACAGCGATAGACACTTTTTTGAAAATCGACTATTCCTACTTTACAGCTATTCTAAGTCAATAAAAAGTTACTTTTATTATATCTCACAAAATTTATTTAATTAAGTTAATAAATTAAAAAACTGAGTGTGCTTTAGGCCACACAACTGAAGTAAAACTTCTTGGCTATGAGAGAAAGAGAGAAAGAACATGTGTGCTCGCGCCTGTCTCTCTTGCCCCTTCAGCAATATACGGAACGTAACTCTCTTTCTATCTTTACTAACTTATATCTCCCTCTTAAGTTCCGTTCGCCTCGCCCGATCATACCTTTCGTAACGCTCTCGTCACGCATTCTTACTCCCTTCCCTGTATTGCGACAGTAGATTATTCGACTGTAGTGGTCTTGCGCGGTCGCGGTCTTCATTCTTATTTTATTTTATTGATGTGTTTGTGAGCCAGTATGTGCAGAAATGTATATTTAGATATATAAAGGCAAATTCAGTGTTATATGCTTTTGCCTATAGTGAGAAAGTATCTACCAGACGTGAGCTTGTATCGAAGAGCTGTAATAGCTCAAAATAGTACGAAGATATGGCAACCACTGAGGTAGTCTGACTCGACGCCACCGCTATGTACTTGTAGCACTATACTGATCTGAATCAACTTTTAATCCCACAATTGAAAGATTGAAAGTTGATCGGAACTGAATTGAGACCGAACTTTTATTACGAGAATTGGCCTTCTGGTTTGCTATTCTCAAGCAAAGGGCTTTATGTTTTACGTTATAATTGTGTTTTTTTTAAAGGATAATATATTTTAAACTTTCTTTATTCTTATTCTAGTGATGCTTCTCATGACAAAATGTCACGGGACAATGCCATTTCGGAACTGCGTCAAACGGTTCTGAACCAACTACGGGACGAGTCGACTCAAGCTATAGATTTACAAGAATGTTTCAATGCAAACCTGAGGCAGATATTTAGGGATATGATCTTTGAAACTGATACCCGGTGTGATGGAAGACATTTGGATGATCTGAGGAACATTAGTTGTGAGGTTTGTTATGTTGTTATTGTTAAATATTTTATTTACTTTTTGTTTTTTTTTGTTTTTAAAAAGACAACTCCCGTAGTAGGAATATATTCCTGTGTCGCGGGGGACTTTACAAACATACATGAAACGGACACAGAGAACACCCAGACTCAGAACAACAATTTGTGGATCACACAAAGTGTCGTTCCATGTGGGGTTTGAACCCACAACACTCGGCGCAGTAAGAAGCGGCGTGGCGACCGCTTAAACCACTACGCCATCCGTGCAGTCAATTTAGTCTTTTAATTCTCTATTATTCTGAAAAATTATATGTATTATTGTCTTATTGAAATTATAGTTGTAGACGTTTAGATTTAAGTAATAAAGAAAGCCCCTTTATTCACCATCATCTTTAATAGTCCATTGCTGGTCATAGGCCTCTCTTAAGAGAGGAAGTTTTGCCTACTATTTACTAAAGTAGATAAAACGTTTTAAACACTCACCAGTTTTTGCCCGCGGTTTCCTGTTAATGTCGATGTGTAAATCAATTTTTCGGTATAAAAATTTATCTCTTTGCCAAATTTCATCCACATTTGTTCAACTATTGTGGTGTGATTGGTTAACAAATATCCAAAAAATCTTTTTATCATTTTATTCATTCATCAAAAAATCATTTTATTAATATGAGTAAGTTCTAAGAATAGTTTAGGAGATTATTATTGTGCATGAATTTTTCTTACACTCAGTGTCACCTAACGCCTAGTCTTGGACAGACTTGAACATGAGGAACGCCATAAATATATCTTCTTTCTCCTTACATAGGTGTCCCTATATCCGCCGCTGCACGGCAGCGCGTTGTTCCAGCGTGGACAGACCCAGGTGCTGTGTACGGTTGCCTTCGATTCACCAGACAGTGCGCTCAAGATGGACACCTTAACTATGCTCACAAGGTAAGTTCTGTTAGTTATGATGGCATATATGAGAGACTACCTGCACCTATCTATCTGATTATCTGATGGTAGCGTGACTTTTAACTTTCCTCAATAAATGGGATATCCAATATAAAGAATTTTTCAATTCTAGTCTGCTGATCTCGTAAAGTGCATAAGCTTTTAGTTAAGTTTTAGTTGTATGGTGAGGTTGCTATTTTGATTTTTTATAATTTTTATGTTGTCTATTTGTGAATGCTGTGCATATTTGTAATTAGAGTAGCATGTGAACAAAGTTTGAAATAATTATGTATATGAATATTTGTGTTTATTCTGTAAATATGCCTTAATAAATAAATAAATAAATTGGAATCAGTAGTTCCTGAGATAAGCGCTTTCAACCAAACAAACAAAACAGCGTTATGGTATTTTATCTATATTTTATAAATTATATAGTTTGTGAAAGGTGTAGAAGAGAGGCCCCAACCTCCTTTCTAAGGAGAGGCTTACGCCAAGCAGTGAATTATTAAAGGCTGATGATGATGATGATGATGAAAGGTGTAGAAATATTTTTGTTCATACCACATTTTACTTAGTTTTAAATTAATTGTAAGTAAAGGTGGAAAAAACAGTCATTTCATGCATAATGGGGGAGAAGCTGAGTGAGTGCTACTCATTAGCACTTTTTGTGATTTTGGATGGACGGATGGCGTAGTGGTCACCACGCAACCTGTTACTATGCTAAGTGGTGTGGGTCTGATCCCCACATGAGACGACACTTTGTGTGATTCACAAATTGTTGTTCTGAGTCTGGGTGTTCTTTGTGTCCGTTTCATGTATGTTTGTAAAGCCCCACGCGACACAGGATATATTCCTAATGTTCTCTTTTTAAAAATGAGAAAAGATGTTTAGTTAATCGAGTCCTCCCTGATGGTGGTGTGATGACATGGGTAGTAGAATTTTATTTAATATTCTACCTCATTCACACAACGTTATTTAGTCTCAAATTAACCAGAGCTTGTGCTATGGGTACTAGACAACTAATATAAATACATATATACTTTTTTTTTGTAAATACATACATATTATACATAGAAACACCCAGACCAAATCAAACATTAAATGTTCATGCACACAAATGTTTGACTTGAGCGGGAATCGAACCCGCGACCTTTGCATTAGCAATCTGTTACACAAACCACTACGCCATCCGGTCGTATTGAGTTATGTATGTACGTATACATGACCATATAGGATAGGATCTTGAAAAACTAGGCGCTGACGCCGCGAGGATAAACTCGATGAGAGTGGCAGCAGCTACCGACGTGGACAAAAAAATCGATATTCTTAATGACCATATTGTGAAACTGTATGACACCCACGCTCCTGTGAACACAATAAAGGTAAAACGCGCCCCGGCACCATGGATGACAGAGGAGGTCCAAACAGCAATGAGGCGAAGAAATCAGACCTATCTTAGGTTCAGGAAAGACCGGTGCGAGGTCAAGTGAAACCGTTATAAGGCTGCAAGGAATCGATGCAACCAGATGATACGCAACGCTAAACGCCGACACATTCTTCAAAACATAGTCTTCCTCTTCTTCCGGTGTCTGGAATTTTCTTGGCACTTTAGGTATTGGCAAACAACAACATTCTGAGTTTCAGAATACAATTGGTCTGAACGACATCAATCGCTATTTCTCATCCACAACTCTCATGGATCTTCAGACTAAATGTCAAACGCTGAACTACATATCTGGCCTCACCAGCCCCAATACCAACTCATTCGAATTTTCTCCAGTGTCTTCTGGGGATATCGAAGAGATTATCCTATCCATCCGCTCTAATGCTGTAGGGTATGATGGCATTAGACCATATTCTCCCAGTAAGTACTCCTATCATTAACTTCTCGCTCGACTCAGGAACCTTTCCCTCCCTTTGGCGTAAAGCTTACATTATTCCTCTTCCTAAAAAAAAATAACCCTTCACTTCCTGAACACTTTCGACCCATTTCCATTCTTCCCTTTCTATCAAAAGTGCTCGACACAGGCCGTGTTTACAAGCAGCTCTCAGAATTCTTATACAGACACAAACTACTAAGTAGTCTACAGTCTGGCTTCAGGCCTGGCCACAGCACTATTACCGCCCTCCTTAAAGTGATTGGTGATATCCGAAAGGGCATGGAAGACACCAAAATTACAGTTCTGGTCTTAGTTGATTTCTCCAATGCGTTCAATTCCGTCAGTCACGAAATCCTACGATCAATCCTTTCATATCTTACGATTCCCCCAGAAGCACTGGAATGGTTCTCCACATATCTTCGCCAAGGATAAGGACGCCAGCAGTGTGTTCGTGTTCAGGGCTCGTCATCGGGTTGGTGCGACCTCAGTGCTGGTGAACCCAACCCAATTTTATCTCCTCTTTTATTTTCTATATTTATCAATCTCATAACTCAACACCTTCAGTGTGCGTATCACCTGTATGCCGACGATCTGCAACTGTATTCACAGGCAAGGGTTGAGGATATAATACAAGACATCGATAACATCAACAAGAACCTTGACCGCATAAAATCCTGGTCGACGAGATTCGGATTGTCAGTGAACCCCACTAAATGCCAGGCAATCATAATAGGTAGCAAAATTATGATAAGGCGCTTAGATACAGCTTTAATCCCACCGGCCGTCTTCAACGACTCAGTTATACCGTGGAGTCCAGTAGTCAAGGACCTAGCCAAAGACCAAGCCTGCTCATCGACTCAACCCTTGATTGGCGTGCTCAGGTTACTCATGTGAGTCAGAAAGTAACCGGAAACCGTCACACCGTCTTAAGAATTTCCTGCCACCTAAAATGAAAATCTCACTCATGCAGTCCCTAATTATCCCTTTAATTGATTATGGCGATGTGTGTTACTTCGACCTGAATGCAGACCTCCTTAACAAGCTAGACCGTCTTATATTTCCGTCGTATATTTAATCTTCGAAAGTATGACCACATCTCTGCTTTTCGTTCCCAATTGCAATGGTTGCCCGTTCGCCTTCGCCGTAATCAGCGAGCGCTGACCTCTCTCTTTTTATTCCTCAACTCCTCAACAAATAATTCGCTTCTTTGTCCCTCCCACAATTTCGAGTTTATGAACTCTTCATTCTTTGTGCAAGCAGTACAACTTTGGAATGCGCTCCCACTTGAGATCAGGATGTTCACAAACCGTTTCACATTTAAAAAGAATGTACGTAACTACCTTATTCAGCTGGCGGAATTACCTACTCAATAGTACTTTTTTACTTCTGTTATTCGAAGTAATCACCCATGCAATCGACGCATTTTTGCCAACGCATTGGCAGTTTATTGATGCCCTTCTTGTAAAAATCAGCTGGACGGGAGGCAACAAACTCTTCAAAGGCATACTGCCTCTCGGGAATTGAATTTTTTACCCACTAAAAAGTTGTCTAAATTTTGGGAAAAGTAATATTCGGTAGGTGCAAGATCTGGTGAGTATGGCGGATGAGGGAGAGCTTCCAACCCCAGCTCTTGCAGCTTGGAGACTGTCTGTTGCGCAGTATGGGGTCGCGCGTTGTCGTGAAGGAGCAGTGGGGACGACCGATTGACCAAAGCTGGTTGCTTGGTACTCACCAGACCTTGCACCTACCGACTATTACTTTTTACAAAATTTAGACAACTTTTTAGTAGGTAAAAAATTCGTTGGCAAAGATGCGTCGATTTCATGGGCGATTACTTCGAATAACAGAAATAAAAAAGTTTGAAAAAATAAGTACTTTCACTTATTGCATACAAAACGGTAATTTCATAGGTAAAGACCTAATATAAGGGGTTGAACGTAGCTACTCGTGTTGAACAGTGGCATAAAGGAGAAGAGTTTCTTCCTCCACTACGAGTTCCCGGCGTACGCGACGGGCGAGGTGGGGCGCGGCGGGGGCGGGGCGGGGCGGCGCGAGGCGGGGCACGGCGCGCTGGCCGAGCGCGGCCTGCTGCCCGTCGTGCCGCTGCAGCCCTACGCGCTCCGACTCACCGCCGAGGTGCTCGAATCCAACGGTACTGAACCCATCGTTGCTTTACTGACCTTTACTATCTTTTTTTTATGTTAGAGGGGACAGACGAGCAGACGGGTCACCTGATGGAAAGTGACCATCGCAACCCATGAACGTCTGCAACTCGGGAGTCACAAACGCGTTGCCGACCTTTTAGGAAGGAGTACGCTCTTTTCTTGAAGGTTTGAAGGTCGTATGTGTCCGGAAATACCGCAGACGATGACCCATGCCACAGATTGGTTGTGCTTGGCAAAAAAGTGACTCGAAAAGCGCACAGTAGTGGAGCGACAACTATCCAGGTGATGAGGATTTTTAAGAAAATTTAACCGTGTGGAATGATAACAGAAATTTCAGTTCAAAATGTTATCGCTCGTCACCTTTTTTGAGGCCCTACGGCCTAACGTAGATGGTAAGTGACTTTCGCCGCCACTGAATTAGGAAATGGAAGGTTTCGAGTACCGGTAACCTCACTCACACAGTAAAAAGGAAGGAGTGAACAACGGTTTTTTATGAAGTTCTCACACTACTCCCTGAAATCAATTTAAATACCCAGGAAAAATAATTGTGTGATTATTTGTTTAGAACGACCATTTGTTCTGTGTCTGGGTGTAATTTATATACAAGTATATATGTGTATGTATTTAGAAAAATATAATAAGATTTCAGACATCGGACACACAACGCCATCTAGTTTCAAACTAAGCAGAACTTGTACTATGAAAACTAGATTGAATACCTTTTTTTTTTTTTAATAAGTACATATAATGTTTTACCCTGCGTTATTTGTGCTGTTGGTATTCCGAACAAAGTAAAAAAAATATATATTATATATATAGAAAACACCCAAACTCCGAAACAAATGTTTGCAGATCACAGCAGTCGCATACGCCATCACTGCACCTCCAAGGCAGACGTATACGTACTCGTATGTTTATCAGTGCTCTGGTTAAAAGAGTATAGACTGCCTAGTTTAGGACTGTGTGTAGAATAATAACCTCACACATCTCATGGGATGTGTGGTTAAAAACAAAACAAAATGTATTGTTGTAGGTTCAAGTTCAATGGCGTCAGTGTGCGGCGGTTCCCTGGCGTTGTTGGACGCGGGCGTGCCTCTGGCCAGTCCAGCCGCGGGAGTGGCCATAGGGCTCGTGTCCAGGTACAACGCCACCGGACAGATGGAGGATTACAGGATACTCACTGATTTGTTAGTGAGTCCAATATTTATGTTTTGTTATAGATCACTAGTTAGACAACTTATACCTTCCTTGACGGATTAAGAATACGGAATGTCACCACCCCTATTCATCCCGTGGGTGTCGTAAGAGCCGACTAAGAGAGAAAACTAAGCCAGGCAACAGCACTGCAAAGAGAAGGAAAACTTGAAACAAACACTATATCAACCCTTCTGGCCAGCGTGGTATAGTAGGCCAAAACCTCCTTTCTAAGAGGAGACCTATGTCAAGCAGTGGATTGTTATAGGCTATTGATGTGATATGATACTACTAAACAAACACTTAACAACTTCGAGGTTTTTTTTCTATTGAATAGGGGGCAAACGAGCAGACATTACCAATTTGTATTTACCGTAAGGGCCTCAATTTTGCTATTTTATGTTCACGCCAAGCCACTGTCATACCACTGTTGTTGGTTAGTTAGTGTAGACTACCGATATTTATACCGATGCCAATGGCCACTCGATGGCATCTCAATAGCGTGTGGCTTGGCGTGAACATAAAATAGCAGAATTGAGGCCCAGGACCCCCGCCTGCTTGTTTGCCCCCTAATAATTAAAAAAAGACGCGTATGGACTCTACGGAGCATTTATTTTTATAGTATCCCTCTGCTGTATTTTAATTATTTTTAGTATTTATGGTACGAAGAATTCGTAATTTAATGAGTCCACCGATTTATATACGAACTAAGCGCAATTTATTTAAATTAAATACTATAAACAGAATAGTCTACAAATACAATATATCCAGTTTATAATAAGCTATCAAATCTCGTAAGAAATGGAAGGATGAAGGCGACGGAGGAAACGAAAGTCTCCACTTTAGTCTGTGTCTACCTGGAAGAGAGAAGGAGAAGTTTGTCAGTCTGGTTACCATAGTACAGGCTCTGCCTAGTTTGGGATCAGACTGTCGTGTGTGAGATGTTTGAAGTTATTATTATTATTAATACCAATAATTTCCACTGGAACATATTCGCTTGTTCACTCGCAGTATCGAAGGATAAGAAGAGGTCCATGCCGCATATATAAAAGCAGAGATTACTCTATTTAGAAAGCTCAAGCAGTTCAGTGATCTTGCCAAAAAATAGATATTTCTAGAACGTAGTAGAACAGTCTAGCATATTCAAACTTCTTTTGGTACACTCGACTAGTTTCACATGTTTCAAAATGACTAATCGGAATATTATTTAGGAGTACCAGTGTCATTGAAATGTCTTACTCCTAAAACCCTCTAATAAAAGTTTAATTAAAATTTGCAGGGTATCGAAGACTACATGGGCGATATGGACTTCAAGATAGCCGGTACTAAGAAAGGGATAACGGCCCTTCAAGCTGACGTCAAAATACCTGGTCTACCTCTCAAGGTGGTTATGGAGTCAATTCAGAAGGCCTGCGACGCCAAGAGCAAAATCATTGACATTATGAATCAGTGTATTGATAAACCAAGGTAGATAATTTTTGATTTAAGTTTTTGTGAGTGCTTACTCAATGCCTGATACTACCACTTGTGCCTTGAAAATTCTGTATCTCCTCATTTTAATAGTTATAAGTTTGTACTTACCAGTGGACTAGTTTTGTACTTTTCATATTCAATTCCAATGATGACTTGCCACTGGACTGCCACTGATACAAATGTTTTTGTAATAGTTTGGTAAACGATACATTTTAAATTTGCATGTTAATTTTCCAAATATCGCAACGTTGTTGATATCACCATTGTGAATTCATTAGTAGAATACCAATATTTTGACCAATGAGAATGGCATCTCAATAGCGTGTCAATAGAATGACCGTTAACATAAAATAGCAGAATTAAGGTCTGTCTCTCATTTCTGCTTGTTTGCTCTTCTATACCGAAAAAAAAATATATCTGTCAGTATATAAATCCTAAACATTTAACTATAATACTTGATCTATCTTGTTGATTTCCAGACAGAGTCCAAAAGAAAATATGCCTGTCATTGAGGAGATGCAAGTAGAAGCTCACAAGAGGTCCAAGCTGCTTGGAGTCGGAGGCTTTAACCTTAAGAAGTTGTATGTGGACACTGGAGTGCAGGTATTTTCCATGTTTACGCACAACACACCACCACCACACATCACTATCTGATTGACATCTGACTGATTTATTCTGCCAAATACTCGACAAAACAGAGATTTTTGCATTTGTGCGTGTTGATAAATGACTTTGAGTCTACATTTATGAGACAATTTCAAACAATTTTGGCAATTTTATGAAATAAAGATATTTAGAGTTTAAGTCCGTGTGGTGACGGATTAAGAATACAAAGTGTCACCACCCCTATTCATCCCGTGGGTGTCGTAAGAGCAGACTAAGGGAGAAAACTACGCAGGACAACAACACTGCAGAGAGAAGGAAAACTTGAAACAAACCCTATACCAACCCGTCTGGCCAGCGTGGTATAGTAGGCCAAAACCTCCTTTCTAAGGAGAGGCCTATGTCCAGCAGTGGACTATTAAAAGCTGTTGATGTGATCAATTTTTTTATTAATTATTTGTTTGGAATGAACTTTAAATGGTTAATTTCTTCAATGTTTGGTTGGTTGTTGATTTTTATAAATGTTTGATTGGATGTTGATTTTATTGCTAAAGTATAAAAATGGAAATAAAACTAATTTTGAAACAGCTGTTATTATTTAATAATTTTTAGATGACACATTACAAAATAATAGATATTTACCTATGAAATTGCCGTTTTGTATGCAATAAGTGAAATTACTTATTTTTTCAAACTTTTTTATTTCTGTTATTCGAAGTAATCACCCATGCAATCGACGCATCTTTGCCAACGCATTGGCAGTTTATTGATGCCCTTCTTGTAAAAATCAGCTGGACGGGAGGCAACAAACTCTTCAAAGGCATTTTGTACGTCACTCTAAGGAGGGAGACAGTGCGACCAGCTGTGACAAAAATGGAGGGGGTCGAAATGCCATGAAATTCATGTGAAAATTTATTGATGGCCCCCTAAGCATAGTAGTTATATCATGATTGCTTATCTGTGTGACTCCAGGTAACTCCAATAGACGAGACGAAGTACAGCGTGTTCGCGCCGTCGCAAGCCGCCATGGACGAGGCTCGCGCGCGCATCTCCACGTGGCTCAGCGCTGAACGAACTCCTGAACTTGAGTTCGGAGCTATCTACAAGGCCAAGGTCGTGGAGGTCAAGGACATCGGTGTACTGGTCACGCTGTACACGGGCATGGCGCCCGCCTTGGTACATAATACACAGTTGGATCACAGGAAGGTAAGATTTCGTTCAAGTATTAGGGATTTTTTAATATCACGTCGCTGGCAAACAAACATAGGAATTGACTGATGGTAAGCAGTTATGTTATGGGCACTCACCAAACTCCACAGAGAAAAACTGGAACGTTGTCAGAGGGCCATGGAGAGAAGCATGACAGGAATGAGGAGGATGGACAAAATAAGAAGTAGTACTGTAGCCGCTTTTCTTGTCAGGCGGACTACTCACCGGCTGACCCAGTGGAGAGATTTACGAGATTACCTCAGGGCGCCTTGTATGAGAACAGAAGTGTGTGCGTGTGGGAAACCTACGGGATTCCTTAGAGGAAAACAACTTACACCTCAGTCATACATACATGTATATTTCAATAAAAACTTTAAGTTACAATAATAAAAAAATTAGAGGGTAAAAGAAAAACCGCAGCAGCGCGCGTCAGAGCCGAGCTGATGGTGCTCGGAGCCTCCTCGTCTTCACTCAAGGAGGTCACTTCCCCTTCCGCCCGAGTCGGCTATTTATATTAGGTTTTGAGGAAAGTTCACTATTGGTATTAATAATTGGTATAAATAAAGTTAACGAGAAGTACGTAACCCTTGAGTACGGCTGTCCGCCTGCTTTGTGAGCCGCGTGACTGCCAGCTTGCCAGAGGTTACCGAGAAACTTGAATTCGAACCAGAAGGCCACAAACGAACAAGCACGCCGTCTGAGACTGACCGTCTTGACCCGAAATCTGGGACCCTACGAATGGATTAGCACTCATATTATCGATCAGGTTCCAGAAACAAATAGGTACAAGAAAAATTAAGAATATACTCACCACTTTCGTGGGTACTTTGAACAGATAATATATTACGAAAATAAAATCAAGACAAGACAAGACAATCAAAACACTATTTAAGATTGGAAGACACGAGTTAGCAGAGTGTCCCCCGTGGCCGAGAGCCGGACTTATATATGTTCGATTTGAGAAGTTTCCAGAAATAATCCCTACTTAACATTTCAATTTGACACTCAAATTATCAACGAAGTCAACACGAACAAAATCAAAAGTAACTCGCTTCCTACCATAACAGAACACTTCCAACACCTATACAATTTGTCATGATAAATTAATAAAATGACTTATCTACAAAACAAACGCCATCTAGTGGTCCGACGGCGAACGAAGAACATCAATACTATAGTTATAAACTACTTTGGATAAATTAAACAAAATGCGACGCGGGCAATAGGTGTCGCTGTTAACAAGTCCGTACGCAATAACAAATATACTAAAAAATAACTGTTACAGTACAATAAGAGAAAAAACTAAAGTTGCTGACATTCTCACTCGAATAGACCAAATGAAGTGGAGATGTGCCGGACACATAATTAGAGACAGGCATGGCAAATGGAGTACAACTATCTGCGACTGGTACCCCAGAGATGGCAAACCAAACAGTGGTCGCTAACAAGCGAGATGGCCAGATGACCTGAGGCTAACAGCTGTACATCACTGGAGAAGCGTAGCGCGAGACAGAACCCAATGGAAAGTGCTAGAGGAGGCCTATGCCAAGAGGCACTCTGAATTAGGAGATATTTTATAAACTTCTAAACTGTTTAATATTGTATGTACTAATTCAAAATAAAGGGCTTATTATAAGCAGTTATGTTACATAATCTGTTTTTCTCAATAAATGCTCTTTCCAATTTAAAAATAATTTTCCAATCCGACTTTTCGTTCAAATACGACAAACAATCATATAAAAAACTCAACAGTTTTATTATAGTAGAGTATTTGAATTGGTATGTTGATTACGTATTTACCTAAAAATAAAATGTATGTATTGAATTATACATTACATACTAAATTATGATGATGATGATGATACTAAATTATACTCTCTATTAGCGATATCTCCGTATTCCGTTTTGTGTTTCATTTGAAACGTCGCTGATGAGTAGAGCGAAAATACTAGAACTTACTGTGAAAAACAAAAGCTATTTGCTGCAGGGTCTTTTCAAATGTATACTTCGGATATACTTATTAATCTCTCAAATAAATCTCGTGGTAATTGGCTCGGTGATCATACTCCAATTTATGACTAACAACACACCTTTGTTCCAGATATCACACCCATCAGTCCTGGGACTGGACATCGGGTCCGAGATACAAGTGAAATACTTCGGCCGCGACCCAGTGTCGGGTCAGGCGCGGCTGTCACGTAAGGTCCTCACATCTCCACCGCCAGGCGTCGTTCGGAAACTCGACAAAGATTAGTTTAACTGTGATATATTAGACTGTGATGAATGTCTGGGGCCCTAGTGTGAGTTTATTTCACATCAACTCGATCGTCATGTGACCGCTTTCGCAGTTGCAATTGGCCCGCACTGAACTCTTCACCAATCACGGCGCCGAACGCGGTTACCATGATGATCGAGTCAATGTGAAATAAACTCTAACCTATGCCATACAAGTTCATTTGTTGTTCGGCGTTGTCGTGATGAAGAGCGTGATTAACTGGAAGTTGCACACGTACCCTGTCATACAGGGTACGGGGTAGAAACGTTTTTATTGAGCAAACATTACGCAGGATCAACACTGTAGTTTTCATAGTTTACCTTGATTCTATCTTATAATTTTGTCCTTTGATTTTATGAAACCAGTATTAAATACTATTCAAAAGTTATTTAACAGAGTCCTAATAAAGGTGAATAATTCATATTCAAAGTGCCTTGCACACCATACTTTATATTTGCCTGTCTGTTAATTAGTTTATAATTTTAATGTCCATGATTTAACTGGATAAGTAAATAACAACATCAAAAATTTTACATCAGCATCACACATCAACAGCCTATACTAGTCCACTGCTGGACAAAGGCCTCTCCTTGGAAAGGAGGTTTTGGCCTACTATACCACGCTGGCCAGACGGGTTGATATAGGGTTTGTTTCAAGTTTTCCTTCTTTTTGCAGTGCTGGTGTCCTATGCAGTTTGTTCCCTTAGTCGGCTCTTACGACAGCCACGGGATGAATAGGGGTGGTGACATTCCGTATTTTTAATCCGTCACCACACAGATCAAAAATTTAAGCAACATTAAATATTACTTATTCTAAAATATATCCTAAAATTGTATTATGTGTTTAGAACTTATATTAGTATGTGACTGTCTATGTTTATAATTTACAGTAATGCTAAATTAGTTTCTGGATCAAAATTTTGTGCCTTGTTTATTACTAAAGATGGATATCTGTGAATAAGCTACAAGAAAATGAGTTTACTTGTATTATTGATAAAATTCTTAATCATTAAATTGTCGACTGCCAAAAATTATAAATAAATATCAATAATGATTATAACTTGTAGTTTCACTTGATTGTATATCTGACAATACAGGTCCAGAGTAACTAAAACTTATGCTCCAGGCCACATCAGTTTGTTACTCTGGACCTCTATGGTTAGCAAAAGTGTCGAGAATCAAAGATAATTCATTTCCATTCAAACCCTCCGTCCTTTGTCATCCCAATTCAGTACTTACTAAAAAGACCCCCCTCAGACACATTCTAAAAATGCGCAGAGAATGAGTGCACAGAGAACAATATAATAATATTTTACCACATTCACACAACGCCATTTAGTCCCTTGTACTTTGGCTACTAGACAACTGATATAAATACAAATATACTTTTTTTTTTTGTAAAAACATACGAGTACATATATACATAGAAACACCCAGACCAAATCAAACATTAAATGTTCATGCACACAAATGTTTGACTTGAGCGGGAATGGCAGTCTGTTACACAAACCACTACGCCATTCGGTCGTCAATGAATCTTGGCAATGCAAGAGCATTAAGAGATCACCTCAAGTTCGTCTAGAAACTAGATACCTATTGTAACTAGTAGAAATGAGAGAGATAAAATATTTTACAAAAATAATAGTCTTAAAACATTTCAAAAGGATTTTAGTCCCCACGAAGTGAAAACCTAATGTTAATGCGAAAACAGTAGTCTCGATGTGGTGTACTTCGCTTGAATAAAAAATAATAAACAGGGTGTAATTCTTAAGACCATGATTCTGAGTGGCAAATTCATATTTTTTTTATATACCTTTGAGAGCTGATTGCATTAAAAGTTTAATTCTCCGGAAGAAAAATCCAATGATTTTAGACTAAGAATGATGATGGTCTGAATACACTATTTCAGTATTCGTTGATTGTTCGTCGATGTCTCTTACACCCGATATATTGTTCTACTGTGGTAACACACTGGAAGGTAAATAAAACAAGCATAGTTTCTTTATTTGTATATTGAAAGTAATAATCTGTCTGTACAATTCTATGAAAATATTGTATCACAAAAGGACGTTTTATCGAAGGCACTACATTGCTCCAGGCCACTCGCCGCCCGAGCGGCACAATATACAAGGATATAAATATCTGTACACAACGCGGCAACGGCCCAACAATCGCACTTACATACTACAACAAAGTGATTGTCAAAAAATAAAGTAATAACAATACTTCTAACCGATTAAATACGTAAAAATATCGATACAAAAACGTAAACAATTAACATCTCAAGTTGTCACATTTTAATACTTGCAGTCTTTGATTTCGTTGTGACTACAGCATTAAATTAACATTATTAAATAATTAATTACACATTTATTTCAAACTATTTACAAAATATTCGATGAAAAATATAAATATGATAATTCGATTAGGAATGCCCTGCGCAGGGCGAAATAACTAGAGATACCTTACACCGTGCTAGATAAAGGTGGCAACAGTTCAGGATAAGGCCTGCGTTTCATTTGTGCGAACATTGTCACTAAACGAGATGATTTTATAAGACAAGTTAAGATTGGAAAGGGCATGTGAATCTACCAAATAAATCAAAACTGTGTAAATATATTTATTAACTAGTTGACTGTGACGCATAATCCCTTCCAAACTATCCATAAAATCATCCCGACGTCAAAATTATGCAAAGGTTAGTATTTAATACGTCAACATACACACACTACAAAAATATTATTATTTGAATGATCGCTAAATGAAACTCGGCCTTTACATAGAAACGTCAAGTGACGAATACAATTCTTTGACGATTATATTTACTGTTAGTGGAAAATCAAATTACTCATTACACTTCATTTGAGATCAATCTGACTAATAAGGGTTGCCACCGAAAGGCGAGTGCGTACAAGCCACAATAGACCAAATAACTTATAAAATAACGGTCTTCATTATTATGCAAAAAAAAATACCAAGTACATGTATATTTTTTTAAATGGCAATATTTAGACTTGGCGCGTTTCAGGTACGCGTTCGTGTCTTGCGTAGATTTCTTTTTTGTTGACTGGCAAGGTGGTGTACTAAGCTGGACTAAAATAATATTTAATCTATCGACTTTATGTAGTGCGTTAAAGCTTTTAGTAATTATTTAAGAAAATAAAACTGTGACAAAGGCGCTAGAGACAGACTATTCAAAAACCCTTGCTACTAACATTATATAACACTTATTTAATTTGTTTTTTTTTATAAAAGGCACTCAGAAAGATCATTTTTGTAGTGATCGAGGCAATCACCGATCTCAGCTAAAAAAAAAAACTACAAAGCTTGCCAGCCAGAATATTTTTTTCTTTCCCTTCCTCCCTTAGATACTAGAATTGGCGTAATTACGGCAAAAATTAATAATCAATATAATTTTATGTTGTCGTACACAAGTGTTAATTCATTCAGTTCATTGAACAAATAAAATGAGCCCACAGAGGCTACATATATATATGCTTAATAAATTAATTAAGATCTCATTTTTGAAGATATTTAAAAACCATTTCTCAATTACATTGATTGTTAACTGTCACTCAAGAGAGGCAATCTTATTCAATGGCAAGATTAAAACTAATAGATATTAGTGGGACTACGACATCTTTGGCACAAAACAGTCAATTTTAAATTACTAAATACAGTCATTTGTGAGCGCCTTGTGTCAAAAATGTCGCGGTACCGTTAGCCTCGTATTGCCACAAAAATCTTCATTTTTGTCATTATCGAAATGCACATTTTTGAAGTGAGTATTGTTTTATATGTAATTACATATTCGTGATCCGTTTATAACGTTTATTTACAAACGATATTTCGGATGACGATCGAAGAAAATTAACAACGATATCTAATGTGAAAATCATTCTTCAAATAATACTTGATATTAATAAGAATGGGGGGTTTTCTTCTAAATACATATCTGGCTAAAATATTGTTTCGTAAACATTGTAATCATTACAAGGCACTTAGCGCGAAGGCACAACTCGATTCTTTATAAAATATTTGAGTTGAGGAACCTTTGATTTCATCATCTACGCATTAATGACCTACAATAGTGACAGTCAGTTTTGTTATCCAAAAACAATACCATTTTTTTATCTGCAAATTTAAAGAAACGGTAACTGCAATAAGTAACATGCAAATGCATGCATTAAAATTCGAAACTCTAAACATTTAAATTATAAAAGTCAACATTGAGAACGGGACTAGAAGCTGCAGTTATAGAATTCAAGGGAATTCAAGGATTTACCGCTAATCAAACCCGTTATTTTTACTGAATGCTGAAAATTTGGAGAAAAAAAATTGTCGACATAACATGGAGGTACTTTGAAACTAATTTAAACTAGGTTAAAGTACAGTTTCAATAAAAAAGCTGACTCTCACTATTGAAATCGTGATGGGTTTTCTTTGTTCGTGGGCTCACTCACTGACTGAGGCCGAATATCTTCAGTGCATTAAATGCGGTGGCTAGGGCGACGTCTTCAGGGCTCTGCCCCAGGAACCCGGCGATCAGCTCCACGATGGCGGGCAGCGCGCACGGCTCGTTGCGTTGAAACGTGCAGTAGCGATTCACGAAGTTCATGGATCTGTGATTTTTTAATAGTTATATATTAATAAAAATAAAATTTAATTTAACTAAATTAAATCGTCAATAGATTGGCACGGAGTGGTGGTTTAAGCGGTCGCCACGCCGCTTCTTACTACGCCGAGTGTTGTGGGTTCAAACACCACATAGGACGACACTTTGTGTGATCCACAAATTGTTGTTCTGAGTCTGGGCTTTGTGTCCGTTTCATGTATGTTTGTAAAGTCCCCCGCGACACAGGATATATTCCTAATGCGGGAGTTGTCTTTTAAAAAAAACGAAAATAGTTGCTATTTCCATTTTACCTATAGACTATTATTGCCCTTGCCCTATAGACTATTACTTTTTCCAAAATTTAGACAACTTTTTAGTAAAAAATTCAATTCCCGAGAGGCAGTACAAAATGCCTTTGAAGAGTTTGTTGCCTCTCGTCCAGCTGATTTTTACAAGAATATCAATAAACTGCCAATGCGTTGGCAAAGATGCGTCGATTGCATGGGTGATTACTTCGAATAACAGAAATAAAAATGTTTGTAAAAATAAGTACTTTCACTTATTGCATACAAAACGGCAATTTAATAGGTAAAGACCTAATATTAATACGTGAACTCTTTGCTCTTCTTTTAAAACTCATTTAACGAACAGAACTATGTGGAATACAATAAGTTTAAGATGTTGTTTTTCAACTTTCATTTATGAAACAGCATATTGTATATTGACGTTTCACATTTCAAAATTTCTATAACGTCACAATGACAGTTCTAATTACACTGCTCTAATACATGAAGCAGTGCGAGTTCATAAAGTATGATCGAAATTGGACCATCAGGCGATCTAATTAAAATTAATTAACAACCGACAAAGGCGGGTATAACATAAATACAAATAAGTAACACAATACGTTAAGTAGGAAGTAAAAAAAAACTCTTCCTATTCTAACTTCAATAAAAAGTAAATTAAAAAAAGTTTCTAAACATAGCACAGCTGAACTAAATCGTAATTAATTTTAGCATTTCAAAGTCAAGTAAGTTTATATTCATACAGATCGCACTGAAATTTGAAATTTATTTTAAACGCATTTTTAGAGCCTTTGTTAGAAACCTTAGTATCACTATGCATTCACTTCCTCTCTTAACAAAAAGCTACTACACTTAAAACTTTTAAACGAAAAAAACAACTAAACAAATAATAATTTAAAAAATGTAAAACCCGACCGCAAAAGGAGAATTTAAAAGTAATACACTAAAAATACAAAAAAAGCACTAGGTTCGACACAAGCATAGCCCATTTTTACGCCTATTTTAGTTATTGGAAATTTCACCCCTAAGGGAGTAAAATGACGAACCTCCATACAATCTTTCATCCTTTATGAAAGATTGTATGGCGTCCGTATGGTGACCGATTAAGAATACAGAGTGTCACCACCCCTATTCATCCCGTGGGTGTCGTATGAGCCGACTAAGGAAAAATTACGCAGCACAACAACACTGCACAGAGAAGGAAAACTTGACACAAACCCTATACCAACCCGTTTGGCCAGCGTGGTATAGTAAGGCCAAAACCTCCTTTCTAAGGAGAGGCCTATGTCCAGCAGTGGACTATTAAAGGCTGTTGATGTGATGTGAATGGAGGTTAGTCATTTTTAAAGTTAAAAAAAAACACGAAAAAAGAAATGGATATGGAAGCGGCAATAGCCTACCCGCAGCTTCCCTCGCTCTAGGTTTACCAAGAGTAGCCAATTATTTTAAATAAGGATTTTGGCCATCGATGTGATCACCATCACGTATGGAAGAAACAGAGAATGTTTCCCAGAATGACTCATCTTCCAGAGATGAGAAGTATTCGAGATTAATAATTTATCTCAACTGTACATAAGTGGCTCTCTTATTTCTATCTTATCAGATATGTCCTCGTAATATAAAAATGGATCAGACATTTTAAATATATTGAGATATGGATAAAAAATATATATTATATTCGATAAGCATCGTGGAAATAGACTATTTTGTTTAACAAACAAAACGCAGACTTACTTGTGGAGAAATTGATAAACAAATTATACGTACGAAGTTGAATTTGTAGTTTATTATCAAAACAAGTATATAATTATATTTTAGAATGGTAGCACAAAAATAGTGTACAATAAAAATTAATGAAGTCATTTGATAATTAAAAAGAACGTATGATATGACCATGTACTTTTTTTAATGTGTTTAATTTTATTTTGATACAAATATGCAGTTTAATCCGCTTTTAATTTTATTAGTAAATATTAATGCACGAACACATTGTCTGCAAATAATGATAGCTTCCTAGGAAGCAGGTCAATTTTTCAGAGCTAAAACACTTGGAAAGATAGAGTTTACTCTAATTTTACAAATAAAAGGTATAAATCATCCGAATATTTCTCTACTCGTTTTTGGATTATACACATAATTATACACACCATAGTCATATGCCATAGTTGATTTATTTCTGGATGGCAGTACTATATACCCGTACATTTCGGTATGACAATAAGCTGTCTTATCGCTCACGGCGATCTCTTACAGACAACCTTTATACAGATATTTGTCAAATTTAAATTCGGGTAGCCTGTGATTACTTCTCAAGGCCTTGTAAATATTATATATATGTATCTATATTTCCATCATCATTCAAAAGGTCCGACGATTGCTAAAACTTCATATAAACTGCCCCTAATAACAGAGATAAACCCACTCACCTCTCAGTCAAAGAATCCTTCACATGCAGTGGCAGCTTCGAAGCTCTCATATTCGGGTACATGAACGGTGAATCTGTCTCTACCAACAACTTGTCCAAGGGCAGCAGTCTTTCCGATAACAATCTCCGAATTCCACCATCGGACTTGTCCTTACATATATATCCCGTTATGCCCAAATAAAATCCTTTTTCGATATACTTGAGGCCCTGTTCTACGGAACCAGTGAAGGAGTGTATCACTACTGCGGGTAAACGGTTGCTGAATTCGTCCAGAATTTTAATCAGGTCATCCTGAGCTTCTTTTTCGTGGACAAATAGAGGTTTCCGAAGTTCGCATGCCATTTCAACCTGTAAAGAGGAAATGTACAGTTGGTAAATGTTTGAAAAAAACAATTACAATTTGTTGGCATAGCTCGCAAAGTAGTTAAAAATAATTAGTTAATAGACATATATGTGTTGTTGAATAACCTGACCAGTTCTGGGATAAGAAAACCATTACAGGTGACAAAATAAACGAGTATATATAAAAAAAGTTTGATAATCCGCAAAACCTACAATTGTGGCATTCTTTGTATTGTAGACTTATAATGAAATGGTCATAAGTTTATCAGACCTTACCGACTAAAACGAGACAGTATTCTGTCACAAGGTAGTACTTTGCCCCAGGTATAATCCAACAAGATGCAATCCGAGAACACACTCGTTAATACCTTTACAAAGAATAAAATAGGACAGGAGTATTCATTTCTATCCATAAGTAGAATTTTATTTCCTTTACAAGAGGCTACATTTAATAACGTTAAAAACTCAACTATGTGGCAAAAACCAATATCTATATCATGCACCTACTTAGGTTAGTGTGAAATAATTTCCTGTTGCTATAAACTAAATGCAACATTGATCCAGATAAGCCGTAAACGCGAACAAGATTGGACAGGCGAGCGTCTGGAGCTGCTATAATTAGCCGCACATTCATCGCGTGTCCTTTGATCGCGCTAACACAGCCCGACCGTCAGCCGTATAATTGTGTATCGTTCGTCTTTTTCAGATGAACGACGGTCAAAATCATTGGAAGTGCTGAAAAAAACTGTTATATATAATACTAGATTTTGTATATTATTATTAATATTTCTGGAATAAAAATATGCCTATATGCTGTTCCAGACTATAATGTATCTCTGATCCGTTCAGCCGTTCTGATGTAATTGACTTATTGAGGCAAATTAAAGACAGATGTTCCGAATGACAAATGTAACTGAAGTACTCTCACGCTCTTATTAGGATTATCAAAACCATAATCGCTCTGCCTCAATAAACGTGTCTTGTACCTGCGATAAAGTTATATAGTATGCTAAACGAGCGAGTGGAAGTCACATTGTCCAAAGGGAGTGACGTCTCATTTAAACTAGTTAAAACTATGTATATATCTGCAGTAAATAATATTTTAACGAGCGGATAGGTGTACCCAGAGTTTCCTTTTATTTTAAGAGACTGTTTTTCGTATAAGTCTGATTAATATCAACATTTATCGCGGAGGATCTGACTGACCAAGTGACTTTCCAGATACCCGCAGCCCGACGGCAATTGTATTATTTACTAATTTAAACCCGCGGCCCAAGGGAAATTGTATTATTTACCAATGTAAATAATACTATTACAAATACAATACTAATGTAATAGTGTCGTTGTAGAGAATTTTAATAGCGCGATGTAGGTATACTAGTTACTCCGTAGGTCGGTGTGTATTCGTCCGATGACATTAAAGTAGGTTTTTCATTGTACGTGGAAGAAGTCGCTGTAATTTCATACGAGCAATATCAATATCATAAGAGCATACAAATAATGCATGCGTGGGCTTGATATATGACCATTTAATTTATTTATTTATTTATGACATTATGCACAAATGTGTGCATCGGCGGACTTAATGCCTAAGGCATTCTCTGCCAGTCGACCGATTGGGCGATGCAGAGAAAGAGTGAAGTAGGTGCATTTTATGTTTAACTAATAAATTTCTGTGGGTGCCTCTAATTTATATTAAACTGTTACATAACCGCGTTAACATAGAAGAAAATTGTTACAATAGAGCATAATATTATTGAAGTATACTGCAATCAATAGTTGAACACAATTATGTCTATAATGTGTTTTAATACATTTGTTACAACAAATGTGTTCGATTATATAATGACGTAATAACGCAATATGTGAAATGTTATTGCTATTACTTTTTAATGAATACATTGTTTGAAAATTTGCGTCTTGCTATTGGCTTGACGTTCATCTGCTTACCTCAACTAAAATAAATGTCGACGAAATAAATAGTTTAGTGGCCTACATTCGAATTTAATTATTCAACATAAGAATTGGAAAGTGTTAGTTAATTAAGGTTGCGTTCGCTGTTAATATTTTACACAAAACGTAGAAAACTAGGCTAAGCTGATAACTTTGGTATGTGTTTGAAACGTTCATATTACTCGAGAATTGTACTGTCTATTTGTAATCTAATTGTACTGTAAGAAGTGTAATATTTTGTTTCATTCTTTAAGACTAACAACCCTTCAAAAATAAGAATTAATATTAAAGAAAACCTTTTTTTCAAAACAAAATATCAGGCATACGTAAAGTGTTCACTTTTAGTAGGTCTTATATACTCATAAGTCCCCCTGATAAGTTCGAGAAGAGTGAAATTAAAATCCAAGCATTTTTAAAACAATTAATAGTTCAGCTTTAAATGGTTTTTTTTAAAAGAGTCACTCTTAATGGTTCCGACACGCTTCCAAGGAGGTTAGTGTCGGACACGCGGTCGGCCATAAAAGCCACCACAAAAATCTCTTATGTAATGTTACACATTACTCCGACCTCAAAGATAACTCGGAGAAAGGCTCCTGCCTTTCTCCGAGTTATCTTTGATCAGATCAGATAGGATCAGATGATCCACGTTCTCTTTTTATGATAACATATCTTAGTTATCTCAACAATTACTCATAATAATCGACATTTATTCACCGAAATATAAATCAAGGTTATTTTGTACGAAAACAATATTTTTATTTTACACAAATATTTTCACATTCCATGATACGTTAATTGTTCTTGGGATAGCTCAGTTTTTTTTTTAATATTTCAAATATAAGGATTATAATCATTCCGGCTTACTTAAACTAATAAACACAAGACTTTCTTTAAGATGCTCTAATTCATAAAGCACAACATAATTATCTTTATAATACTTGTGTTGTGTTTTGTGCGGGAAGGCAAAATAAAGCGTGATCCATACTCTATGGAATGTTTAGTTAGTTTCAAATTAAGAAAGACCTGGATTTCCATAACTTTTATTAGTAAGAAGCGAGGTCCTTGTTCTCATAACAAAAGTCAAATCATTATAACTCACAAGCTTCTTAGCTTGCTAACAAGCTTTCTTAACTTGACATGTACAGCCCATTTTACACGGGATGATGAGTCTTATTGGTTTTAAACACCTTTTCTCTGCTTTGTGGCAATCTATGCAGCAAATCGTCTAAAGGGACGGAAGTATGTAACAGGAAACTGAGGAATTTTAAATTACTTGTTTGATGTTACATTTAGACTCGCGCGTTTTTTTATTTATTCGCAATTAAGCTATACGCTTGTGGTAAAGTATTTTTTCTATTCTTACAGATAAATTTTCTTGCTAGATATTATGTCATTATGTTTTTTTTAAACCCCTGATAGTCTTGGCAATAACCATGATAATCTTTTGATCAGTTGATGCGTGAACGGATAGAAAACAAACTCACATTATAGTTATGGAGTTAGAATAGTGTTTTACTCTTTATTACTGCTGCCTCAAAAGTTATATATAACCCGAGCAACCTGTTTTCTATTATTAAAAATATCAAGCAAGTTCAGAATCGTGATCGCTTTAGAAATACTCTGTGTATCTAATATACTATTTGCACTTACGATTCGCTAATTTCTGGGCAACTGTAGTAAATTCTCTTTTTATTGAAAATTAAGATTCTAAAATCGATTTATAGGTAATGATTTCATACCGATGCTATTTTTATTCTGTACGAGAGCGTTGCTATTGTCATAATGTGATTTTTTTTTTTTATTTTTTTTTATATTTCTGTAAGTAAATCTTTTCAGATATTTTTACAAGTCGGACTTTATAGCTAGAAGGAGCCGGCATTTCCTAAGACTCACTCTGGGAAGAAACGCCGAAACAAACCACAGAGGTGTCTTTTTTTTTTAAGTCCGTAAACAAAGTTAAATAAAACTGTGCGAGTGCAGTATAGGGTCTGGATAGGCCTTTTGAGGAAAGGATCATAGTTTTAAGTCAACCTGTCCATACAGACGGCATACAGGCTCCAGCCATCGTGTAGCCCAACCGATATTGGTCAAGATCAACGACCCGAAGCACGACACTACCGCCAGCAGGACATTTGGGTAGGCCGTGGAAACACTCAAAACCACCAGAAAGAAATAAAATATGAATTAACATTACAAGCCTATACTGTACTCACATTTACATACTTACACAAAAAATAAAAAAATACTATACAGTTCAAAGTCAACGAAAAATAAAATACGAAAACAAAATACGAAATACACCAAAAAAATTATAATTAAATGTCCATCACTTTCAAACTTAACAACAAAGATGTCTACGTAAATGTGGGAGTGAGCAGCATCAATCCCAAGCAAATTTGTCGTCTAAATAATCTGTAATAGTGTAGTAAGCCTTTCCACATAGTTTTAGCTTTACTAAAGACTTAAATTTATTAATACTTAATTCATGGAATTTGCTTGGCACTTTATTGTAAAATCGCACACCCTGACAACGAAAAGACTTGCTTACTTTTTGTAGTCTAGTGGTTGGTAACACGAGTTTATCTTTATTTCTAGTGTTTATTTTATGCATGTCGCTAAACTTTGTGAATAAATGATTATTTTTCTTTACATACACTAAATTTTCAAATATATATTGAGATGCGACTGTCATGATACCAATTTCTTTAAACTTATCCCTCAGTGACTGCCTATAACTAAGATTATAAATTGCACGAATAGCTCTTTTTTGCAACACAAAGATACTTTGAATGTCAGCAGCATTTCCCCACAACAAAATACCGTATGACATTACACTATGAAAATAGCTAAAATACACCAGTCTAGCTGTTTCTACGTCGGTTAATTGACGAATTTTGTAAACCGCGTATGCTGCAGAGCTGAGTCTATTCGAAAATCGGTCAATGTGTGGGCCCCATTGCAATTTAGAGTCTAGTGTTATACCTAAAAACTTGGTGGTGTCCACAAGATCCAACTCCTTTCCATTTATTAGAACATTGGTCTTTACCTGCTTA